GGGAGCGTGTGCAGTAGAAAACTGGAAATATTAGGATGGGTTCCAGGAGAGAAATTACAGAGCTGAAAAAAGAGCTTGAATCATCAGGGTTTGAGTAGTAGTTAAGCCTCTGAAGATGAACGAACCTGGCCTGGAAAAACAAATAGAGAAACAGCAGGGGTCCAAGGGCAGCTCCCTGGAGGATGCCAGCGCTTACAGAAAGTGCAGCCGGCGCGGCGGAAACCTAGACAGTCTTGAGCTCGAAGCCAGGGAGGCCTTGGCTGATAATCGCAGAGGCCTCGGGATGGGAGATGAGTGAAAGTAGACCTTTCTCAGGTTGACAGTTAGGAGGCCACGGAGGGCTGTGGCAGGAGTGAACTCAGCATAAAAACAAGGTAGGGATGGGGTGGTGGACCGGAGAGGGCTGAGAGGCACGTGAGCGTGTAGCACAGGTGAAAGTTTGACGATTGGAGGTCGAGATGGAGATGCAGGGGTAGCTGGAGGAGGAGATAGAGGCAGAGGGTTTGTTTCTTTTTTTAACTTCTATTTTGCTGTGATGGGGAGATCCTCATTGCTGCTGGTTTGCGGAGAGCGGGGGCTACTCGAGTTGTGCTGTGTGGGCTTCTCATTACAGGGGTTTCTCTTGCTGTGGAGCATGGGCTTTGGGGCATGCAGGCTTCAGTAGCTGTGGCACTTGCGTCTGAGTACTTGCCGCTCCTGGGCCCTCGGTCACAGGCTCAGTAGTTGCGGCGCGTGGGCTTAGTAGTTCCGTGGCATATGGGATCTTCCTGGATCAGGGATCCAACCCGAGTCTCCTGCATTGGCAGGCGGATTCTTGACCACTGATGCACCACGGAAGCCCAGAGAGGGTTTTGTTTGTGTTTTAGGTACAGGGAGAGTTGAATCTAAGTCAAAGGGAGTGGAGGAAGGGGAGAGGTGGAAGCAGCAAGGTAGGGGCATCAATCACTGGTTGGAAACAACGCTGGAAGGGTGGGCGGGGACCGGTGTCCGCGTGGTGGAGGGGGCAGGAGGGAGCAGGACTGGCAGGTGAGTGTGGAGGTGGCAGGTGGGCAGCCCCGGATTTCCACCCAGAACTGAGGGACATGGACAGAGATCGTTTGACTCGCTCAGGGTTTCTGAACCAGTAAGATCACAGTCTGTGCTTCTGCCCCACTGGTTTTCCCATCCCCCTTCTCAGGAACATTAAGCCACAGCCCTCTGATGGGCCCAGGGGCTTGGAGGGACCTGGCATCAGGCCGCGTCCACGGGTGACGCCCTGTTCTGTTCCTCGTGGTACAGCGGGTGCCTGCTGAATACTTGCAGAGCGTGTGAGGCTGCCAGGCTCCCAGGGCTGCGGAAGGCCTCAGTCCTTCCCCCTCGTCCCCCAGTTCTGCCCTTCGGCAGTCCGAGGCAGGGCTCAGCATCTCTGCAGGCAGGGACACCATGGTTCTCAGCAGAACACTGGGAGGGCACACAGTGTTCCTGCCTTGGGGTTGGCTTTACCCGACTGAGCTGGACCTCCCGGGCAGCTGGTGGCAGGCAGAGGTTGCCACACTTTGGACATGAGTGGATCAGATTTCTGTTCCCCTGCTCAGGTACCCTTCTGTGACTTTCCTCATGGCCTTTCGTCCCCAGGGGCTGTCAGGGATGGGGGACAGCTGCTGGGAGAAGGCTCCGAGTGGTCTTGAGGCAGCAGCCAGCCCAAGAAGCCCGTCTTCCTAGAATCCTAGAGGGGCTGAGCCTTCTCGTGGCTTGGCCAGCCATGGGAAGTCATGGGTAGATGGCATCCCTGGCTGGTTTCTTGGAGCAAACCCCAAGACTAGCCAGTCTACCTAGCATAAATTTAGGAAGAAAATATAGAACTCTACTGGGCAGGAGGCTCAGAAAAGAGCAATTGTTTTGTTCCTGGAGACCTGTCATCTCCGACCAGCAAAGGTCTGCTCCATCGAGGACGTCTGAGACCTTTGACTTTTCAGTGACCGTGGAACACACTCTCTATAGTGTTCTCCATCTTGGCTGCATGTTCAAATCACAAGAGAGGCAAGGTTTTTCATTTGTTTGATTTTTTGCTGGCCAGTGCCTGGGCCCCATCCCTCAACCAATTAAATAAGACTCTTGGAAAGTGGGGCCCAGATACCAGTAAATGCTTTAACTTCTCAGGTAACTGCCCTGTGTATCCAGTGCTGTGACCTCCCAATAAAGGGAGCCGGAGTGTGATGTGCTGATTTGTGATCAGAAAGGAAGATTGAGGGCTCAGAGGGTGGAAGAAGGTGCGGTTCACAGTGTAAAGAAATGGGCGAGCCTGAAGGATCTGGTTTCAAGCTTTGCAGCTCAAAGCGTGGTCCCAGTCTAGCAGCAAGCACCACTTGGGACCTGGTTAGAATGCAGACTCACAAGACCCACTGAGTCAGAATGTGCGTATTGAAGATTGAGAAGCCTGCTTCTGCCATTATCTGGACCAGTGGTTCTCAACTGTTGACTGGGTTAGAATCGCCCCGGGTGCTTGAACAAATTCCAGTGCTAGACCAGACTAGTTCTGTCAGAATTCCCAGGTAGGGAACTCCAGATACTGCAATTCTCCTGTTCAACCAAGTTCAAGGACATCCATCTTGACAAGCGATTGACAAGTGCTTCTCAAACTTGACTGTGCGTGTGAATCAGCAGGAGGTCTTTTGCAAATGTAGGCTCTGATTTGTGCATCTGGGTGAGACCTGAGATTGTGTGTGTTAGTCACTTAGTCATGTACGACTCTTGGTGACCCCCATGGACTGTAGCCCACAAGGCTCCTCTGTCCATAGGATTCTCCAGGCAAAAATACTGGAGTGGGTAGCCATTTCCTTCTACAAGGGATCTTCCTGACCCAGGGTTGGAACCTGGCTCTCCTGCATTCTCCTGCATTACAGGCAGATTCTTTACCATCTGAACTATTCCGACCTGAGATTATTTATTTCTAATAAGGTCCCTGGTGAGGCTCAGACTGTGGATCTGATAAATATTGATATAGTAGAATCACAAGCATTTGTTAGACCAACTTCCCCGTTTTACAGCTGAAGAAACCGAGGGTCAGAAAGGGAACAGTGACTCCCCCAAGATAACCCGACATGTTCATTCAATACTTTCTGAGCACTATGTGCTGGATGCTGAGGCTTGAGCTGGGGATAAGACAGACCTGATTCTTCCCCTCTCAGGGCTTATCTGCAGTGGGGGAGACAGACAGAGAGCAAGTAATTAAATGAATTTCAGATCGGGAGAAGCATGTGAAAGGGATGATGTGGTCGGGAATGACTTGGCAGTTGGCTTTGGGTGGATCGGAAGGCGGGACACCCTTGGAAAAGCAGTAAGTCTTGACTTCCACTGGGGTCTGCTGATTACAACTCTAAAACTTTTCCTTCCTGGACAGAGCCATCCTCCAACCGCCCTGGGATTCAGAGATGGGCCCTCCTGACCCTACTGAGAACATCTGACTCTGGTCCACACCCCCCTCTTCCCCTATCCGCTTTCCCTTCCCCTCGACGGGGAGCCTGGGGAGTGCCCCCCTCCCCCACCCAGAGCAGAGCATCGACTTCTTCATAGAACAGCGTTCAGGATAGTCGATTTATGGTTTCTAACAAGAACCAGATCTCGTCCCGATGCGGGCCCCCACCATTGAGAAATCATCTGAGATTTTTTGTTTATCTGCAAGAGAGCACAATCATGAGGGCGTCCTTTCCTTTCCTGATCTGCCAGAAGAATCAGTCGGGCTGCTTGTGGAAATGCCTGTCCCAGGTCCCACCCCAGCTGGCTGAAGCAATCTCAGGAAAAGGCCCTGGAATTTGTGTTTTTAGTATGTGGCTCTCGTGATTCTTATGAACCAGATCACTGGGGGAAGTGAAAGTGGCATGGAGAGAAGAATCTGGTGCCCTATGTCCCATATCTCTTCGTGTGGCTCTTTGAGCTGCAGAAATGAATTTCTGGTGATTCAGAAGCATGGCCCTTGGCTGGATGTGTGATCGGAGGGATGTCTGTGTGCATGTAGCAACGCACGACGCTCCGTCCTCACCTTGCCAGCCTCTGCCCTTACCTGAAAGCGTCTCCTGTCTCCTCTGTGACCGACCAGACCCTTCCCACTGCCCGTGTGTGTGCATGCTCAGTCACTTCAGTCGTGTCCTACTCTTTGTGACCCCTGGACTATAGCCCTCTAGGCTCCTCTGTCTGTGGGGAATTCTCCAGGCAAGAATTCTGGAGTGGGTTGCCATGCCCTCCTCCAGGGAATCTTCCTGACCCAAGGATCGAACCCGCGTCTCCTACATCTCTTGCATTGCAGGCAGATTTTTTTAGTGCTGAGCTACGGAGGAAGCCCCTCCTGCTCCCCATGCTCCCATTAAAACAGTCCCCTCCACTGCCCTCCCCAGCGCACCTGGGCAGTGAGGACTTGGACACCGTGTGCACTCGGCCAGAGTCTAAAAGGGCTGCAGGAGGCTTCCTGGACCATCTGGTGGCCCCCACCCTCACCCCAGGGTGTGGCCCCAGGGGACCTATTCGGGTGGAGTAGCGGGAGCTTGGTGATGGAGGGGTGGGTGGTGGCCAGCACCAAAGGAATGCCTTGAATGTGCAGAAGAGATAAACTTCACTTCACTTGTGCAAATGTGAATCACACCCTTGTACCTTTTAGCTTAACTTTCATGTAGAAAATGGGTGGATGTACATCTGTTTCCTGGAGCTGACCCTTCTGAGGTCAAACTGAGGGAGAGGACAGTGAGGGGAGCCGCGCCTGGGAAGCTGGGGTGGGCCAGTCTGGCCTGGGATGGAATCCGTGAGCTGTGGGACGTGGTTTCCCTTTCTGGGGCATAGGACCCCTCTGGACCCCTGAGGTCACCTTGAGGGGTTAGGGAGACATCCAGAGTGAGGAGGGCTGCTCCCTGGATGGCCCTGCAGCTGTGTGCTGGAGGCGGGAAGAGGCAGGCGGTGGGTGTACCCTGGTCCAGTGCTGAGGCCAGAGCATCCACGATGCTGACCGCACGCCTGTGACTCCTGCCTCCTAGGTGGCCCGAGGCAGCCGGGATGACAACTCTCCCCAGGAACCCTGGCACCTGAGAAACATGATCAGCAAGTCCCGTGAGTGTTCGCCAAGAACTCCCCTACCCTCGGCGATGGGCTCCCCGGAGGCAGTCTTCAGCATCTTCCTTCGACCCTCCGGGGGTTGTGGAAGGACAGATACGGAGCTGGGGGCACCTCTCTTCCTCTTGAAGGATGGCAGACATGCTCAGAGCCAGAAAACTATGCCCCGAGCCAGAAAACTATGGCCCAGCAGGGGCCTGCTCTGAGCTGGGGTTGCGGGAGCCCCAGGCGGGGCAGGTGGGGCAGGTGGGAAGGTGGCCTGGGGCCATGCCTGCCTGTTCCTGCGTCCAGCTTGTGTGTACATTCACCCCGCAGGCTGGAAGCTCCTGGCCATGCTGGCTCTGTTCCTGGCTGTCATGGTGTGGTACTCTATCTCTCGAGAGGACAGGTACATTGAACTGTGAGTCCATCTTTCATGTTCTTCTGTGGGTTTTTTGTTTTGTTTTGTTTTTTAGGAAAGGGGCTCAGGGATGGAGTGTCATGGAGTGGGGACCTAGTGATAGGAAGGAGGGTTCAGAGAGCCAGGGGGTGGCCTCTCCCTTACACTATTAGCTCAGAATCTTTCTGTGAGCATGGTTGGGAGGGCTTGGGGAGGTAAGGTCTGGGATGGGTCCCCAGGTCTCTCACCCAAGGGGTTTAGGAGAAGGAAGAGCTGGGTTTACAGTGACTTGGTTTCAAGGTGCAACTTGGGCTGAGATGATTCCAGCCTGTGAGTCACTCTTCAGGGCCTTGGAACCTTCATGCCCTGGGAGGAGCCAGGGACTGCCTGGAATGCTGGCACCTGGGCCTGGGAGGTCTGACCGGAGCTTCTATTTCCTCTTCTTTTCTGTCGCCAGCTTTTATTTTCCCGTCCCAGGGAAGAAAGAACCATGCCTCCAGGGTGAGGCGGAGAAGATGGTCTCCAAGCTCTTTGGCAAGTAAGTGTGTGAGGGTGGGGGGTGGGCTGAGGACAGCCGGAAGGAGGAAACCGTGCTGGAGGACATGGGTCAGGTGAAGCCAGTGAGGGCGGGGAGTCCTTGGGTGTGTCTATGTGATATTAGTCTGCGGTCTGACCCTGTTTCTGGCATCAAGATTAATCGCTTTCTCACCCCCACCCTGCCTTCACCTCTGCGCAGCTACTCCCGAGAACAGCCTTTCTTCCTGCAGCTTAAAGATTATTTCTGGGTCAAGACCCCATCTCTCTATGAGCTGCCCTACGGGACCAAGGGGAGTGGTAAGTGCCTGCCTTGGGGAGCGGGGTGGGTGGGAATGGTGGCCTCACCTTCTCGTTCTTTGCCATCCACGGTCCCAGTGCCCAAGTTCTCAGCCAGGCTCAGACCCTGGGGTCAGGGGAGGGAGGGCTGGCAGCCTTCAGAGAGGTTGCTGTTGTCATCAGCCCTGTCGAATCTGGTCCTTTTGCAGAAGATCTGCTCCTCCGGGTGCTAGCCATCACCAGCTACTCCATCCCAGAGAGCATCCAGAGGTAAGGGGACACGCCTTCCTGCCTCACTGGGAAACAGTCATGGTCCAGCACCTCCCAGTGAGCCTGCCTGTCTCCAGGGAGGTGGGGACACCAGTCCCCATGGCAACCGAGCCTGGGTATCGGGCTGCCAGAGTGGGCAGAGGTTGCTGAGGGTATTGCCGTGGTAACAGGCCGGCCTGGGGGGCGGTCGGGGACTCTGAAATGGGATTGCTTTGCAATCCTTCCCAGGCATCTTCCCTCCTCTCCTTCTCTCTCTCCTGTGCTCTGCTCAGCTTCCTCTCCCTTGAAAGCCCAGGGCTGCAGAGTCAGCATGACCAGGAGCAGAACTCTTTGGAGATGCCTGGTCCATGTAGGGGGCTTCCCAGGTGGTGCTAGTGGTAAAGACCCTGCCTGCTGATGCAGGAGACTTAAGAGACACGGATTCCATCCCTGGGTCGGGAAGATCCCCTGGAGGAGGGCATGGTCACCCACTCCAATACTCTTGCCTGGAGAATCCCGTGGACAGAGGAGCCTGGTGGGATACAGTCCATGGGCTCGCACAGAGTCGGACACAACTGAAGCGACTTGGCGTGCGCATGGTCCATGGGAAGCAGGGCCTGAGGGGGCTTGGGGCAGACGGAGGCAGGAGAGCGCGGTGAAGCCGGAGCAGGGGCTCCTTCTGGGTCTCACCACCCTGTTCCCGTGGCAGCCTGAAGTGCCGCCGCTGCGTGGTGGTGGGGAACGGGCATCGGCTGCGCAACAGCTCTCTGGGAGAGGCCATCAACAAGTACGACGTGGTCATCAGGTCCGTATGGCCACCCTTCCCTCTTCTGTCTGGGGGGGCGACGGTGGACAGACCAGCGGGGCTCAGGGTGACGGGCAGCCTCCTTCTTGCCTCCCAGGTTAAACAGCGCTCCGGTGGCTGGCTACGAGCAGGACGTGGGCTCCAAGACCACCATGCGTCTCTTCTACCCTGAATCCGCCCACTTCAACCCCAAAGTGGAGGACAACCCCGACACACTCCTCGTCTTGGTAGCTTTCAAGGCCATGGACTTCCACTGGATTGAGAGCATCCTCAGTGATAAGAAGCGAGTACGTGGGGAGACTGGGAGGGGAGAGGTCTCAGCCTGTGGTGGGGGGACGCTGTCCAGGGTCAGGCCCTCCTGCTCCATCATGCGTGCCCCGAGATCCTCAGGAGCCAGTGAGGGCGAGGCGTGAGCTCAACCTTCTGCTACAGCAGCCCAGGGCGCCCCAGTGAGAAGCCTGGGAGCAGAGGGACCAGTCTGTAGTCATCTCCAGGTGGGGGTAGGTTAGAAAAGTCGAGCTCTCTGTCCTTCTAGGCGGACACACCCCAGAAAGTCCACTGTCTGTCTTTGCCATCGGTTGAATGTTCAACTGTCCAACTGGCCATTTTCTGCCAGATGTTGACCTAGCCCCTTCTACCTGTGTGGATGTCACTGGGAGTGAGCAAGGCTTAGACCCCATACTGTCCACACCATGTCACCGGGCCTCCCCTGGGGACTGCCCCACTCCCCTCTCTCCCTGCTCCTCCCCTCCGGTCCCCGCCCCACCTCTCACCCTGCACTCGTGCGGACTCCGCGCCATCCCCACATGGACCCCTTTCCCTGGAGGAGCCCAGCGGCTGGACTCGAGGAGCAGGTTTCAACCCACTCCCCTCTCGCCTTCCATCCCCACCCGCCTAGGTGCGAAAGGGCTTCTGGAAACAGCCTCCCCTCATCTGGGACGTCAACCCCAAACAGATTCGGATTCTCAACCCCTTCTACATGGAGATCGCAGCTGACAAGCTGCTGAGCCTGCCGATACAACAGCCACACAAGATTAAGCAGGTGATGAGGGGTTGTGGACGGATGGGGAAGCCAGGGGGCTGGTGTCCTGGAAGGTGGGACTTCCAGAGGCTTGGGGAGGTCCAGAGAACCCCAGACGAGGGGAGAATACCAGCGGAAAGGGCGGCATGCATCTGAATAACACAGGCCCCAGGCACATACCTGACGTTTACAGCAAGGCAGAGTTCGTACTCTTTTTTTTTTGTTTGTTTTTAAAAGAACAAGTGGCAAGGTTTTTCTTTTTCTAAAGATATACTTTTCTTTATTTTGGCTGGGCGGGGTCTCTGTTGCTGCGTGGGCTTTTCCCTCATTGTGTGAGCAGGGGGCTGCTCTCTAGTTGCGGTACATGGGCTTTTCATTTGGTGGCTTCTTGATGCAGAGCACAGGCTCCAGGGCGTTTGGGCTTCAGTAGTTGAGGCTCAGCAGTTCCAATTCCCAGGCTCTAGAGAACAGGCTTGGTGATTGTGGCACATGGGCTTCGTTGTTGAGAGGCATGTGGGATCTTCCCAGACCGGGAATTGAACTCGAGTCTCCTGCATTGGCAGGCAGATTCTTCATCACTGAGCCACCCAGGAAGCCCAAGAGTGCAGACTCTTGAGATGCCCAAAGGCATCGCCAAAGTGGGGAGTCCGGGAAGGGTGTTGTTATGGCTTGGGAGCTAGAGTTAGAGGATGGTTTTGGCAGGTGTTGATCAGAATCTGTACACTGGGGATTTACTGGGACAGGCAGTAGTCTTTTGTTTTTTTTTTTCGACTATGTGGCTTGCGGGATTTTAGTTACCAACCAGGCATTGAACCTACACCCCCAGCAGTGAAACTGTAGAGTCCCAACCACTGGTTAGCCAGGGAATTCCGGACAGTCAATAGTCTTATTTTTGGAGCCCAGCCCAAATGAACATGGAGCCCAGCCCAAATCCTTCGGTTACTATTTGATCACTTTATCTGTAATCTGATCTTGGAACATGTTGGTCTAAGGGAGTTAAAAGAATTGCAGTTGGTCCTGTATACTGTAGTTTGCTAGGTGTGGCAGTTTGGGGAGGCCGGGTGCATCAGCAAGTTATGGTTTTGGTTTTGGCTCTCTAGTGGTCTCTGGCTGGCGGGCTTCGTCATACTGGGTAGCATCTCAAGCAGGTACTTCCACGTGTCCTTGAGCCCTCAGGTTGTGTGGGGTAGGAGACAGAGGTAACTATCAGACAGAAAGGACTCAAGGTGCTGCCTGCTCTATGGCCTTGGGCCAGTCAACCACTTAGAGCCTTGGTTTTCTTATCTGAGTGGTGAGGAAATGATCAGTACTGACCTTTCCAATAGCCATTTTGGGATTTAAAAAGATAATTATGTAATGTGCTTATCATGAAGGTTGGAACACTGTGAATGCTCAATAAATATTAGCCAAATTTTGAATAAATGATTTTATTCTTTTTTCCTTTTGGCTGTGCCACATGGTTTGTGAGATCTGTTTCCTGAGCAGGGATTGAATCCATGGCATCAGTGGTAAAGAACCCATCTGCCAGTGCAGGAGATATAAGAGATGTGGGTTTGATCCCTGGGTTGGGAAGATCCCCTGGAGGAGGAAAATGCAACTCTCTCCGGTTATTCTTGCCTGGAGAATCTCATGGACAGAGGAGCCTTGTGGGCTACAGTCCATGGGGTTGCGAAGAGTTGGACATGACTGAATCGACTTAGCATGCATGCATGGCAGTGAAAGCTGGACTCCTAACCACTAGGGCATCGGCCACCAGAGAACTCCCTATGATTTTATTTTTTACTGAATATCTATTATGATTCAACTTCCTGTGTTGAATGCCTGCTTTCGTGACTGCTTAGCACCAGGCCCCAATTTTGAATACACGGGAGTAAGACATTGCACATAAACACACAGGTTGCAACCTGGAGTGGCAAGATGCTCTAGCAGAGAGTTGTTCCAAGTGCTGTGGGGTCTTGGAGGAGGGGTGGACCTCTGCTTGGGGCTGTCCGGAGTGGTACCATCAGAAGAGGTGAGACCAGAGTTGGACCTTAAGGGGTCTTGGGGCCCAGGGAGCAGACACCTGGGGAAAGGTTTCATTAGGCAAGACCAAGGAGCGCCCCTGGCACTGAGTTCTAGTGCAGGAAGAGGTGGATGGGGGAAAGCAAGGAGGAATTCTATGCCCCTGATGGTGGAGGGTGAAGACTCGAGAGAGAAGCCAGAGATGAGGACTAGAACCTGGCTGCTAGCAGAAGGAAGAAGAAATGGATGAACCTGACATCTGTGTTGGTTTCCTGTCACTGCCTAACAAATGACCGCAGTTTAGCAGCTTAAAACAACACCCATATATTGACTCATAGTTCTGGAGGTCAGATGTCCAATACAGCATGGCTGGATTCTCTGGTTAGAATATACAGGCTGAAATCAAGTTGGCAGCCTGACTGCATTCTTGTCTGGAGGCTTAGAGGGGGACATCCCCTTCCAAGTTCATTCTTGTTCGAAGAATTTGGTTCCTTGTGGTTGCAGGACTGAAGTCCCCATTTCCTGGCTGGCTTTCAGCCTAGGGATGGTACCCTCAGCCTGTTAACAGTGCCCACATACCTTGCTGTCCGGCCCCCTCTATCTTTAGGCCAGCAGCGCGTGATAAATCCTTCTTGTGTTTCACATGTCCGACTTCCTGCACTGCTGACCTCTAGACCCAGATGTTAAAGCTCATGAGAGGTCAAGCCCACCAGGATTGTCTATCTTCCGGTCCTCTGTGCCATATGAAGCAATCTAACACAGCGTAATATATCTCATCGTTTTCATAGGTTACACACACTCTCAAGGGCAAAGGTCATTGGTGGTCATCTTAGAATTCTCCTGCTACAGCATTGATTTTAAGGTGAAATTGAGGGATGTATGATAGTTCCAGGTTTCCAGGACAACTGGGTGGATGGTAATATGTTTAACAACGACACGAATACAGGGGGAGAGGAGAGCTTGGTGAGTTTAAAAAGTCCACGTCCAGGCAGAGCTGGCTAGAAGGTGATGAATGTGTGGTTTGGCAGAGGTCTGAACTGGTTGAGATAACACAATGGAGGTAAAAGCAACAGGGTTGAAACGGAAGGCTGGGGCAGGAAGTGACAGATGAAAGGATAGGAGAACCCAGAAAGGGGCCTGGGGAACACCTGGCCTTAGGGGGTCAGACAAGATCGGGGGAGTGGCTTGAAAATGGGAATGGGCACTGAAGTGGTCTGGAAGGCAGGTCGTCCCAGCCAAGAAAGAGGATTTGTGAGGTTAGGCTATGGGGTGGCACATCCCGTGAATGAGTCAGTGGTGGAGAAACTGAGATCTTCATAGCAGCCCCTATGGTGGGGGTGGGGGAGGTCCTGCTGACCCCACTTTACGGAAGGCAGAGCCCACCCTCATGAGGGTACACAGCTCAGGAGTGTGAGCACCCTGGGGCTTTCGGGAGAGGTAAGGTTCTCCAGGATGGAGAGCAGAACCTTTCTACTCCTGGAGGGACTTGTTTAATAGTTCTAAGCCTCAGTTCCCCAGCTGCATACAATGGGGCTAATAAAAGTATCGATCTCAAAGTGTTTTTGTGAGGACTGGGTGAGAGGTGGTACAGTGGTAAAGAATCTATCTGCCAAGGCAGGAAATGTGGGTTCCATACCTGGGTTGGGAAGATCCCCTGGAGGAGGAAATGACAACCCACTCCAGTCTTCTTGCCTGGAGAATGCCATGAACAGAGGAGCCTGGCGGGCTATAGTCCGTGGGGTCACAAAGAATTGGACACAACTGAGCAAGCACACACAGATGGGATGACATAAGGGGTAAGATAACATAGTGTCGGGCATGTAGCAAGTGCTCTGAAAGCCATAGATATTATTATTATTGCTGTCATTACTGTCATTCTGTAGTCATCCCCAAAGGTCTGAGCCCTCCCCAGATGTATTAAGCTGTAGGATGCCATATGGTAGGGCTGCTCTGGTAGCTTGGCTGGTAAAGAATCCACCTGCAATGCAGGAGACCCTGGTTCGATTCCTGGGTGGGGAAGATCCCCTGGAGAAGGGACAGGCTACCCACTCCAGTGTTCTTGGGCTTCCCCGGTGGCTTAGATGGTAAAGAATCCACCTGCAATGTGGGAGACCTGGGTTTGATCCCTGGGTTGAGAAGATCCCCTGGGGGAGGGCATGGTGACCCACTCCAGTATTCTTGCCTGGAGAATCCCTATGGACAGAGGAGCCTAGCGGGCTACATCCTCGGGGTCGCAAAGAGTTGGACACAACTGAGTGACTAAGCAAGCTTCAGCATGCCTTATGGTAGCCATGAGCCATGTGTGGCTAGTTTTTGTTTTTTTGGCTGTGTCCCATGGCTTGTGGGATTTTAGTTCCTCTACCAGGGATCAAACCCAAGCTCTTGGCAGTGAGAGCTCAGTCAGAGTCCTAACCACTGGACCACCAGGGAATTCCCCTCCAGATGCTATTTAAAATTTAATTAGAATTGAATAAAATAAAAAGTTCAGTTCCTTAGCTGCATGAACCCCCACGTGGCTCGTCGCTGCCATATAGGACAGCACAGATGAAGAACATTTCCATGATACTAGAAGGTTCTCTCGCAGAGCGCTGGCCTAGAGGTGCTGAAAGACTCTGGCTCCCTCTAATACCTTGCCCACCCCTTGCCCCTCAGAAGCCCACCACAGGGCTATTGGCCATCACCCTGGCCCTCCACCTCTGCGACCTGGTGCACATTGCTGGCTTCGGCTACCCAGATGCCCACCAGAAGAAGCAGTCCATTCACTACTATGAGTACATCACGCTCAAGTCCATGATGGTAAGCGGTCCCTGCTGGTGCCCTGGGTGGGGCTGACTGGCCTGGGGATGCTGAGTGAGTGAGGGTGGTGCTGGAGGCCCAGAGATGACTCACCTGTGAGGTCACGCAGAGTCAGCGCTGGGAGCGTGGCATCTGGACTCCCAGGCCAGCATCCTCCATATTCTGTCTTCCTTTCGAGAGCTAGCCCGGGGAACAGAGCTCCCGGGCATGGGTCACGGGAGGGCCAGAGAGCTGCCTAGAAGTTCCTCAGTTTGCTTCCTTGGCTGTCTCCACAGTGGTCAGGCCACAATGTCTCCCAGGAGGCCCTGGCCATCAAGCGGATGCTGGAGATTGGAGCGGTCAAGAACCTCACTTACTTCTGACTCGGGCAGGAGCTGTTCCCATCGGCTCAGCCTGCTGAGCAGCCCCGGTCCGTGCCTCTGGGGGTGCCGGGTGCCAGGTGCCAGCGTGGCCTGCTTGGACTCACCCTCTCCTGTGTGGGGAGGGGGCCAGGTCTGAGACGAGGCCGTGCCCCTGGCTGCTCTGGTGGAGGCCGGATGGAGTCAGGGTGGAGGCCCTGGGGCAGGAGGGGCTGGGCCCGGGCACGGGGGCTTGCTTCTGTGGCATCCCCTCTCTGCCAGTGTCGGGAGATTATTTAAGGGGCTATTTAATTAAGGGGTAGGAACGTGCTGTGGGCTGGCCCCGTGGCATCCAGAAGAGGGGGCATATGGCAGTGTTCTGCTCGCTTTTGACACAGACAGAAGTGATGCGCCCACTACGGCCTAGGCCCAGAGTGGGCCTCCCAGGAGGGCGGGGCGTCTGAAGTGGGCGGTGCCCCCCCGAGAGGGGCTGCTCCCTCCCAGCAGGCATGGGAAGAGCACTGGCGCAGGGGCTCCATGGTGGAAGTGACCTAAAATAGGTTACAAAGTATTAAACTATTTTTCCTAAAACAGAAGCAGCTGTGATACTCTTTGTCCTTTCAGATGGAAGAAGACGCGGATGGGGAGTGGGCCACAGCAGTGGGCCCCCTCGCCCCGTAGTGGGCAGGCGGGCCAGGGTTATCTGGGAAGTCATTGTGTCCTGAATACGATGCTTGGGTGGTGCCAAGTCATGCATGGTCACCCTGGCATAGCAGGCAAGCGACTGGTGCTCAGACGGCCCTGTCTGCTGGACACCTAGCCTGGCTCTGCATCCTGGTTTTCTCTCCAGAGGTAGGAGGGGCAGGAGGATGCCTGTGGTTGGGAGTGGCAGCACCCTCATTCCCCTCCCTCTCTCCCCCTCACCAGCCTTGTTTCCAGAATCACATGTTGGAAGGTGTGTGTTTGAGGACAAGGGTGGAGACAGGCAAAGAAAGCCAAGTTTCCTCCTCAGATTAAGTGGGAATCATAAAGTGGAGTTTACAGAAAGTCCTGCCAGGGGCCCAGGCAGCCAGAATTGGGATGGGCAGGGCACGGGTGGTGTCTGAGGGCTTGGCGAGGCCCGAGAGCAGTCGCTGGGCCAGGGGGTGGAATGATGGAATGCCTTTGCATTCCACCCCCTCTCCCCCCGGGCCAGGTTTTTATAATCGTGATGGCTCTGCTGTCTGCTGGTCTCTGCCTGGCTTGCTTTCCCATCTTCCCAGACCTGGCTAAGCTGCCAAGTGGCGTCCCGCCACTCTCCCAGCTGTGCCTTTACATCTGGAGCCAGGAGGGAGAGCCGGACCTCCCCCAGTGGGAAGGGACTCACAGCTGTGTTCCTGGCTTTCTCGGAAAGAGTTGCAGCCTTGAGGTTTTGAGACGGCAAGGCTGGGACAGGACAGATAAGGAGGGGCAGAGATTTCGGAGGAGTGGAGGACCATGGCAGGAGATGGACTTGCTCTGTCGGAAGCCTGGCAGAACCCCTCTGCTAGCTGCTGTCCTCCCAGGGGTGAGAGCAAATAGGGCCGCAGCCCTAGGCCCCCTCCTTTCTCCTCCACATGGGCAGGCTTCGTCTCCAGGCTTTGTCCTGGGGGGGCCTTGCTGACCCCGCCGGGCGTGCGTGTGTGCAGGAACCTCAGCTCTGCTTATTCCTGGTGCATCTCCAGCTGCTGCTTGTGAGGGTTTGCATGGGAGTGTCCAGTTCCCCGTGCAGGCCATTGAAAGTGGCTGTCAGCACGTATGATCCAGCTGTCCTGGATCGGGGCCACTGCCTGTTACTGGATGTGCCTAAACTCGAGCCAGAAACCAAACTCATACCCACCACCCTCCTCCAAACTCCATACAGACACACACACACACACACAGAGACATGGGAGCGATTTACATTTTGGCATGAAGCCTGTGAAGCCTACACACAGACAGTCCTCTGTGATTACATCCACACAGGAGTGTGTATGGGAAGGGGGTGTGTATACCCCCCAAACTGGCCATTGCTCCTTGGGTGGAGGTGTGGGGTCAGCGTTCTCCAGGGTACCCCAATCCCGGGCGCCCCAATCCCAGGCGCCCCAATCCCGGGCAGATAGAGGCAGCACCAGGGGCCCCAGGGCAGGCAGTGGAGCTTTGATGAGGAGTTGCTGGATGGAGTTCTTTCGAGTTCTGAGAAAGGGACTGTCTTTCTTCAGTTAGCCTGGCCAATGAGGATGAACTGCCCGCCAGCCCACCTGCCTGGCTCTGATTAAACCTGGCCACTGGGAAAAGGAGGCAGGAGAGAAGCAGGGCATGGCAGAGGGAAAGCACTTGACTGCTGGCCCACAAATGTGGGTCCTTCACCGGGCTCTGCCACTTAATTCTGTCCGACCTTGGGCTGATCACTTCTCCACGTCTGTGCTCCAATTCCTACATTCCTTGAAATAGGAGGGAGGGTCCAGCCAATGAGGACCACCGGTTCTGGATCACCTGGGTGTGATTTAAGAATGCAGATTCTCGGGTTTTACCCAGGCCTCTGGGGATGGAGCCCAGGAATCTGGAATTAACAAGCACCCGCAACCACTGCTCCAGTCGTCTAGACTACAGGATAATCTCACGGGCCTCTTTCAACTTAACGGTCTGCGTGCAAAACCCAGGCTAATCCCCGGTGCCCTTGAGCCGCGTTAATTACGCGCACGCGCGGTTTTGTCCCACGGGTGGGGGCGGAGGCCAGTGCGGCGCACGCGTCGTCGGCCCAGAGGGCGCGGGTCAGGGGCCGTACAGGCAGAGCGGCGCCCTAGCGCGGTGTGCCCGGGGGCCTCCGGGTTGCTGAGAGGCCGGTGCCTCCCTGGCAACCGGCTCCGGGCCTGGCTGCGGCCGCCGAGCCCGCGCCCGTCTGTCTGCCGGGTTTGCAGGCAAACCAGTTTTTTTCCGGGGGGCTCGTCTGAACTCCCGCCGCGCCTGGCTCATGTGACCTACGTTGATGTCACCGCCGGGGCGGGGGTGACACAGACTCGGGCTACCGGCCATCGGAGGAGATCCGCCCGGTGCGGTGTAGGCCGGGCGGCCCATCTCTCCGCCATAGAGGCCCGGAGAAGAGGCGGAACAACCAGCTTCACCTCCTAGCTGGGCAAGACAGAGCTTAAGGCTTTAGTCCATCATCACGTCGAAATGATGTTCTGTATTCACATTAAGTGAAAGTGCTGAACACTTCGGGTTTTTATTGACACTTTCCGAGGACATGAATACATCCAATTGCCTTCCCCCAGAGACTGGCCAGCAGCCTGCTTAAAGTTTGAACTCGGAAGTGGTTTTGTCTGTGAGACAGTTACTTGTAAGCCCACACACAAACCCGTGCTCTGTCATGTGACCTGTAAAATAGTGATTACGCATGCCTGTCCCACAAGGAGGTTTTAAGGATCTAGTGGGAATATGTCTGGCAAAACATTGGGTTGACTGTCAAGTATGATGTCAATGTTAGATTGTAAAGCTACTTTTTGCATGATGAAGAATACCTGAAAGCATATGAAACAGATGAGGTCCATCTGGAAGGTCAAACGTATGCCCAGGTAGAGCTAGTTACAGAAAAGTGTCTTCAAGTCACCAACAAGCTCAGCAGAGGAAGGTAAGAGGCTGGTAACAGGACTCAAATGCAGGTTTTGCAGAAAACAGCAAAGCACTGTGAATTCAAACTGCTCTTTGGCAGTGGTTTTCAAGTTGAAGTCAGACACGCTCAGGTGCTTTTGGAGAAAGGTGTTTTTTTGGGTGGCATTATGTGTTCCTATGGACATGAGTTTGAGCAAACTCCAGGAGATAATGGAGGACAGGGAAGCCTGGTGTGCTGCAGTCGGTGGGGTTGGAAAGAGTCGGCCAGGTCTGGGGACTGAACAACAATGTTTCCATGGCAGGCAGCCTCCCAGGGCAGGTTGCTAAACAAAGGCTGAGAAGTACATCTTAATAGTTGGTAAGCTCTCCCCAAACCATCTGACTGTTTTGATGTCTTAATTATAGCTTCAGAAAATTATTTGTTAGTTTTTAGCATTTCCTTGGTTTGTACCGGACGTGATTCCAGGAAATCTTTCCAACTTGAGTTTGAGGAGGGATCTACGTGTGTATGTCAGTAGTTAAGAGATGGTTTTCCTGACCAGATCTTTCTTAGTGACTTGACCTCTCTTGTTAGAGTTTGTGGGGATTCTGCACTTGAGAATTGAGGCAGGGAGATGAACCTCGAGTCTTTTTAAATATCAGGTTTGGGGGGAGCCCTAATGTATTGGGGGCTCCCCCTCTTCAAGTTAAGGGAGTGCAGGGGGCTGGGAGCAAGCTGGGGAGACTTCAGTCCTGGGTAGGAGGGTTAGCACAGAGGATTTGACAAAAGGCTTTAGGAGAAACAATACCTTGGGAGCCGGAGTTCAGATTTCCTGGGACGACCAATTTAAAGTACTGCACCCCTCAAGAGAGACGCTGTTTCCTCTCAAGAATCTTGCAAGACTGGCAGGATGGAATTGGTGGAGGGAATGATAGGAATCACCCCAGGGAATTGAAGTTGGAATTACTTAACTAAGCTGTTCCAGAGCTGTCTATTATTCTGAGGTTTCCTAAAACATCATTTACGTACATCATCAACTTGAACGCTTAAGGAGTGTCTTCACTTGCCTAAAAATGTGTTTCTCTTCTAAAGAAAAATATCACAAGAGGACAAGTTACAGTCTGGTAGGGAGATTCTTTCTAGTTCTGTGCTTTTTTTCTGTACATTTCTGTTCCACTTGTAGCCCCACATGGCAAGAGAACTAGAGAAAATTTTAATTAAAAGTCAGAAATTCTCATCTGAAAATTCTGCTGTAGAAGTCCTCAATCTTTATCTATATCACTTTATCACTAATGCCTTCTCCACTCAGTATTTCTCCCAAGTGCAGAGCCCACTAGTGTCATGAATTTGTCTTCTAATCCTTGGGTAGCAAGGCCCTGGCCCTTTAATTTCTTTACAAAGGTGATGAAGGTGGTATCTTAAACTTAGTTCCCTTGAACCTGTTTTTGCTTAATTGAGGATGACCTTTGCAGGGATAAATCCCTATATTCAGCTTTTATCCTCAGTGGCACTTCTCCTTTTGTATAAGAAGGAGTAGATTTCTGGTAAGGTCTAGTTAATAAGACCCCGATTCTCCCTAAGAAGACCTGTTTCTTGAGACTTCACATACCTTGTCTTTGAATCTTAGTACTTTAGATTCACTCCAAAGAAGACAGCTATAGAGAAGCATTATGTGACTGTTCTCATAGCCTTCCAAGTTTATTTCCAAGGGCCATAATTTGAGACACAACGGAAGGAAGTTCCTTTGTGTGCCCGGGGCTCCCTGATCGGTGAGCACAGGGAAGATATTTGGCCCAGGGATTGAGGCCATCCCAGCCCTGTGGGTGGGCCGAGCCGGCTGGCCCAGGGAGGAGCTCTGAAACATGGAATGGCAGGCAGATACAGGCCCCAGGGATGTAGACCAGAACTCAACGATGGATCTTGTGAATGTCACGTGTTCACAAGAGGCCTTGTAAAGATGAGGGCTGTGGTAGGTGTGAAACCACAGGAACTGTGGTCCAAAAGCTTTCAGTACATGTCCAAGATTTCACCAACAGAGAGGAGGAGGAGATGGAGCCAGGAAGAACAGCAGTTAGAGAGGGAATGTGTGGACGGGACTCTTCCTGCAACACAAATGTGTTCATCCAGGAAAACAAATCCTTATGTTTAAAAAGAAAAGTAGCTTGGGATTGTCTCATTTTTCCCAACTGATGACCTAGTTAGGAAAATGGAAACACAGGGGATTGGGGAAAAGATGAGCCTTACGGAATTTGAGAAGTAACATCAGAGGGAGTGTTTGATCAGTGAGTCTCAGAGATCCTGTAGTTTTGATTCTGAAGCTGCAAATGGCTGGCCTGTGGTTACAGCTCCTAAAAAACAGCTTCTGTAAGAGGCTTCTTTAAAGGGGAAGTAGACCTCAAGATTTAGTTGAAATGTCCTCGGTTTATGTCTAACCGTTCATGTTTTTGAAATAAACATCTATATGCAAATTAGGATCATTTTTATTTAAATATTTATACTTTTATTTCAACAGAGAGTTGATTTTATAGGGAAACTTCTTAGAAGAAACTAATTACAGGACTCCCCCTTCGTGGTTTTTTCTGGTGGCATCACAAACCATGCATACGTGGGGAGGGACTCCTGGAGTGTGTAGCTGGCGATTTCAGTTCTGATCATGTCATAGCAAAGGCCATGTGCCCAGTGTATGCCCCTCCCCCATATAGGAAGTGAAAAGGAATTTTTGTTGGCTCCTTTTCTCCTGTTCTGAGAAATCTCCCAAAAGCTGCATTACGTTTGCTGTTATTTCCCGTGTTCCCCTCCACTCCGGAAGCTCCCAGGCAGCTTCAAGGCCTGTGCCTTGAAACACTGTTTCAGTCGTCTCCATCAGAAACGGGTTTACTACGGTGCCCTGGTGCTTTGTATGAAACCACCTTCCATTCCATGAGAGTTGAAGACATGGTGGAAATAACCCTGGGCTTTCCAGACTGATAACGAGCCTGAGAGTTAGAAATTGGGCCCTCGGCCAGTGACTCGGAGCCAATAACGAATTGTAAAGCTATCGGAAAGCTGGATCCTGGCCTTGGGAATGGGGCGTGGGGGGGGAGTGATTTGATACACAGACGCGCTTTCCCAGGAAGTTGCTGTCTCTCCAGGTCATTCGGGGACTGGGGGTGGAGGATGCCAGTCATGCTTTCCTACTGGAGCTGCAGCCTGCCCTTCCTCTGCCCGCCCCCCGAGTGGGTCCTTGCTTATGGCCTTCGGCACCGGGCATTTTCTAGGATGAGAGTGGCCTTGGGCTTTTGCTGTGGATGGAAACATGTCACAGAGGAAGGCATCTGTTTAATCTCATGTGCGTCACTTGTTAGCTCTGTGACCTTGGGCTGGTCTTTGGTTTCTTAAAGCCTCACTGCCTTGTCTGTTAAATGGTGATACTTTGTAGAAATGCAGGAATTAAATAAGATTACAAATGTGAAGCACTCATTTCAGTTGGTGTGACGTCACCTGCAGGGAAATTCAGGGCTTCCCACTGCCTTAATTTTTTTTTTTTTTAACACTTCCCTTTACCAACTTTTTTGCCTTTCACTCTTGCATGAGAAGTAAATGGGGCCAGAGGAGTAAAAGGATGTATATAGCTCAGTCCAGCATCCTTCTCAATGCCTTGGCGGTAGTGCTTACTGATTTCACCTACCTGTGTTCTTCTCTTTCAACCAGGGCTTACGTGTGATCTCATACCCTTTCCGTGATTCTCTGCGGTGTCTATGCCTTGGAGAGGGCTCAGGGGGTGGTCCCATGTAGCCAAGTCTTCACTGTGCAGCCCCATCTTCTGTGATGTCCATAGCCCCACCCTGGGAGTGTCTGAGCCTCTGAGGGAAAAGAGGGTTCTGTTCTCCAGGAGATCAGATTTCTTCCCAGGTTGTTCTGTGCCCTAACCTTGGGTTCCAAGAAAAAAATGGGCACCTCCATCCTTTTAGAAGAACTGTGTATTGTGGGTGGGGATGATTGCGCGGGGGGTAAGGGGCAAGGTAGGCTGTGGTGAGGATTAGAAGGTCAATTTCCCACCCGCCTCCAAGGTGGGGGAGAGCAGGAGAAGTGAATGGACAGATCATCTTAGGTCATCCTCCTCCTATTCTAGCACATCAAGGCATTCTGCATTTGATCTTACACCCTTCTTCTTTATTAGCAAAGGCAAAATATATATGGGAAAGAAGACTTGTGGGGTTAGAGGGCTTGTGGGGTTAGAAGACTTAGAGGGCTTCCCTGGTGGCTCAGTGGTAAAGAATCTGCTTGCCAATGCTGGAGACATGAGTTCGATCCCTGGTCCGGGAAGATCTCACATGAAGCCCGTGCGCCACAAGTATTGAGGCTGTGGTCTCGAGCCCTGGAACCACAACTGCCGAGCCCACGTGCTGCAAGTACTGAAGCCTGTGCATCCTAGAGCCCATAGCCGGCAGAGTCCTTGCAACAAAAGAACTCACCACAATGAGAAACCTGTGCTAGGTAACAAAGAGTAGCCCTGCTTGCCACAGCTAAAGAAAAGCCTGCACAGCAATGAAGACCCAGCACAGCCAAATAAATAAAAATTTAAAATGTTAGCAATTAGAAAAAAAATTAAGCTGGAGCTCACAGGCATCTGTGCTGGGCCAGAAATGGTACTCTGGTACCAGGAGCAAGCTGTGAGGCTGGGATGTACACTTAGAGTTCTTAATCAGTTTCTACTCCCTCGGGCTTGGGGGCTATAAAGGAAGATATGAAGGAAATGGGAGGTTCTGAAGCAATAGGAAATATGGTGGAAGTAGATAAATCCTTTGAGTGGAGATGTTAGGAAGGCAATGCATCGAATCTGTGGATTGAGGCTGTCCAAGGAAGCAATGGTGGGGAGAAGCAGCCTTTCATGATGAAGGTTCCCATGATGGGTAAGGACTCCAGGGAAGGTTTGAGGAGAAGAGGCTAAAACTTAGGAGGAATCCCAACCTTCAGGACAACGTGGCTTTCGCAGAGTGAGCATTCTAATTTGGCCCTGTTTATCCATGCCAGCCTGTCGGCCATCACCATGCCAAGCTTTGCACCTAAACAAAGCCATTCTTAGAAAGAACATCATTTGAGTCTCATAGTGTCCGGTTGCTTGGTGGCACAGGCTCTTTGAAGAGGGCCTCCTCCCCTGAACCCCCAATGGAGGGAGCTGACTTTGCAGAATACTGCCAGAAGAAAGGCCTAGAAGGACCCCACCAATGCGGTCTGGCCCCTTTGCCCCTGAGCCGTATCTGGCATGAGTCAGGTGGTTGGTGAGGCCCCGCGTTCGTGCGCCCTCTGGGTTGGGCACTTCCTATAGGAATCTGCCTCTAGGTCCTGTTGCCATCGCAACCAGAGCTCTCCACTGCTTGGGAAAGCCGAATGAAAGCCGGGCCAGGAACCCTGGGTTCCCAAAGCATCCTCTGAGCTTTTGGGGTCTCCCGTGGCTCAGCAGGAACAAAAGAACAGAACGGATCTCTTGGAGGCAGGGCCCCTAATGTTTATTCTCAGGTGGCAGGTAGGCATGAGGAGCTGATTTGCATCCTCTGGTGCCCCTGCAGTCTTACTGAAGACAGGACCACGGTTCTGTGTGTGCCTCTAGGCCCAGCTGAGAAGGCGAGTCTCATCACTTGAAAGGCCGGCCTGCTGGTCCCCTCAAACCCCATGCATCCCCAGACAGTCTCTCCAACTGCTGTTTAAAGAACCCTGACCAGAGCAGCTCTCACACTCCTTATATTGACTCTGAATGTGCAGGGGTCGGGGGGGAGGAGTACACGAAGCAGGGTTGCGGGGAGGCTCTGGGTCACACAGCCTGGCGAGGGGTCCCCGGGTGTCACACTCCCCCTCCTCCCCCCCCCCACCCCCAGACACAGTCTCTGATTAGATCAGTCCCACCGCAGAGCTGAGAGGCATCCAGTCCAAGGACAGAACTGCAAGAGTATGGACACAAAACACCGAACAAATTGGGTGGTGGCCAAGGGCCAGGGCCGGTTCTGGCTTCCCAGCCTTGGAGGGTCTGGGCTATGAGCGGCAGGGGGCACTGGGGTAGCTCAGTGCCGGGAGCGCTGACCCCCTGCTCCCCAGGGCTCGGTGCTGAAGCACAGGAATAGGGGTAGGGCTGGCGGGCAGCAAGGGGTACAATTCACGGAAGCAGAGTTTTAGCTGCCTCTGAGCCTGTGGAAGGGGCAGGTGGAGGAGGGCCTCCGGAAAAAGGCCGGGACCGAGAGGCCGGCAAAGAGCACACCTCCTCTCGGCTGCATCCTCTGCCCGCATCTCCACCCGCAAGCCCCTGTGCGCTGCCGCTGGGCCCACGTTTGTGCTCCATCCATCGGGGCTGCGGGCAGGGTGGTGGCCCTCGGGGCTGTCCTGGAGGCGGCTGCTTCCGGGGTCCTTTGCAAAGTCTCTGCCGAGCCAGACCGAGCTCCGACCCGTCCCCCACCCTCGGTCCGACGTGCTCAGACGTGCGTCTGCATCCGCCGCTGCAGGGGCCGGCTGGGGTCGGAGTTCTGCGAAGAGGACTGGGAGTGGTGGGAGGAGGAGGCCGAGGCCTTGCTCGCCTTGTCGAACTGCACGTAGCCGTCCTGCTTGCCGCTGCTGCTGACGCTGCTGTCGCACTGCGTGTCCAGGAACGAGCTGCTGTCGCTAAGCGAGCCCCGCTGGAACTCCCGCTCGCAGAGCTCGATGGACGAGCTGCCCATGCCCAGCACGAACCTCTGCCCGTAGTCGTAGAGGCGGCTCTGGCCGCTCAGCGTGCTGTAGATGTTGGTGAAGGACATGCCAGTGGGCACGCGCTGCTTGCCCGTGGGGCGCAGGTCCGGCTGGCAGCTGGACAGCGAGATGGTGGGGGTCGAGTGGTGTTCCTTGAAGGTGTTGACGCTGTAGTAGCCGTTGGTGGGGTCCTGCAGAGGCCGGAGGGAGAGCCTTGTCACATCACTGGATGGACAGCAGGGAAGGGCCAGGGACAGACAGGAGGAAGGCAGGGGAGGAAGGCAGGGGGTCAGAGTGGGGGTGTGGATTATTATCCCGGGCAGGATGCTGACAGGTATTCAAGTAGCGTCTTGCCCAGTGTGTGCTTAATTGCTCAGTGGTGTCCAACTCTTTGCCACCCTATGGACTGTAGCCTGCCAGGCTCCTCTGTCCCTGGGATTCTCCAGGCGAGAATACTGGGGTGGGTTGCCATTTCCTTCTCCAGGGGATCTTCCCGACCCAGGGATTGAGCTCCCGCCTGCATTGGCAGGCGGGTTCTTTACCACTAGCGCCACCTGGGAAACCCAGTCTTACCGGGCATGTTTTATTATTTCAGGGCAGCTAGCTCAAGATCATGTGAGAATCTTTCATTATTTTTTCTTTTAGTCCAGAACATGGAAATTCACTATAAATGTGATTGGCAAGGAAGTTAACTCTCTCATCTCCTTGTGGGGGGAGGGGGTGATCCCAACTTTACTGGGAGGAGAGGTCCCCAAGGCGAGTTCTGGCCTTTCTCTTCCTATTTGCTGCTGTGGTTTGCCCAAATCTGGGGCCGGGGTCATCAGCGCTGAAGCCTGGAATCCAGGCCGTGTGGTGACTCTAAGCGGGGCTCTTCTTACCTTCAGGTTCTGAAACTCCTTCTCTTCTTCTTTGAGCACCTCCAGCTGCTTCAGCACTGAGTCTTGCTGGAATTCACCGCGGTCCATCTACAACCCCAAAACAGCTGCTCAGAGGGTAGGAAGTGGCCTGACTGTCCACTCATCCCAGGGGAAAGCTGGAGAAATGAACTCAAAAGATGCTTGCCATCTCTGCCTCCCCCTCCCCCCAGAGGCAGGTGACAAGAGTCCAGACGAGATTCCAGATCTCATTGTTATTCTTGGACCCTTGGACCCCTATCCCCACCCCCTCGTGAGAGCTGGAGACAAAGAGGTGGGTGCTTGCAAGGCCGGTTTCTAAGACACACTCCCTTCCTTCCCTCTCTTCCTATGTTGGCTACTGTTATCACCTCCAGGGATTTCACTTTGATTCAGTTCAATTGTGAGCATTTACTGACTTCAGGCCAGGCATTGTGCTGAAGGCCAGGCAAACAAAGATCAAGAGACTTTATGAGACAGCTTTGCTCAGCAGGAGGTGGACCTGTAGATAAATAACTGCAGAACCTCTGGGCAGCAGGCAGGACCTTGAGAAGGAATCAATGGAAGCTACCTGCAAGGAGGTGGCAACTAGGGCCTCACCTGTTATTCACTGCAAGGACTTAGACTATTATTAAAAGTTATCTTCCTGAATGGAGGCCAGAGAGTCAGGGGGCAGGGATCTATTTCTGTTTCTCTTTGGGTCTCCAGCATGCCTGGTACAGTGCCTGTGGTCATTGACCAAAATCCTTTTGGAGTGGAGTCATATTTAATTGTGTGGTATTAATTCTTTGACTTGCTGGTGCCCAGTGTGGTGCCTGCTATATAGCAGGGCTGTCAGAAATGTTATGTTTATGTCAGATGAATGAATGAACGAAGGGACATGCCTCAAAATTACTAAAAATTAAAAAAATAATGCTCACTTAAGGTGAAAGATAAAGCATACTTGGCACACAGTAGGTGCATTAATTAGTCTGAATAGCCACAGTGGTGCCTGTCCCATGGTACAGAATGTTCTTCCCATCTATCACTTCCGCACCTGACACAATCTGGTCCAGGTCCCACCCACTCTCAGGGCTGGGATGTGTCTTTTTCTTTGTGACTCATTTTCCTGATCTATTTTTGGAGCCCCGGAGAATTAATCAAGGCTGTTCCATCCTGTTAACTCCCCACTAATGCTGCTTTTTTCATTTTCCAGTATTGCTGTGGCTATCTTGATCTGGTTCTTCTCTCCCACCAGATTCAACTCCTAAGCCTGCCTCTCCTCCATGCTGGGCTGTATCAGGGCAGGGGAAAGAAGGTCTCCTCAAGGGGAGCCCTCACTGGGTTCCTCTGCTGGGGTTATCCCCTACTTTTAACTGACTGCTGGGTGCCCCCCCACTCTTTAGGGTCTGGACCGGACCGTGGTGTCGAGACAGTCAGGGGAGTTCAGAACATCCCACTGGGAGGGAATGCAAGGTCCCTGGGGGATGAAGGACAGGCATGGGACCTCCACACCAGACTTGATAAAGCTCATCAACAGAGATGTCCATTCCTGCCCAGGTCTGGGCTGTGGTCCCCTCCCTTGTAAGAATGACTGTTCTATGTGTCAGATATTGTGTTTGCTTGAGCGAAGTAGACATTAGCAGACCTTTGAGAAACTCTGGGATTCTTGGTGATGCTCACAGGTAATTAGATATATGTACTATGGAGGAGAAACATGTGGGACTTCCCTGGTGGTCCAGTGGTTAAGAATCCACCCTTCAGTGCCGGGGATGTGGGTTCGATCCCTGGCTGGGGGACTAAGGTCCCACATAGCACAGGATCAGATTTGCATTTTAGAAGGACTCTGGTGAGTAAAATGGTAAAAGACGAGAATGTGGGACCACTTGGGCGGGTGCTGTCAGTCATGGACCAGGGAAGCCGTGAGGCCTGTGCTAAGGAGTAACAGTGAAGAAGTGGCAGAGGCACCTATTTGAAAAGATGGTGAAGTGGAAATTGAAAGGACCGGAAAATCAACTGGATAGAAAAAGAGCAGCAGAGAAGACGTTAATTTAATTCCCTGAATGGCGGCGAGCATCTAACAGGGACCCTGGAAGGTGCCAGGGACACAGGGCTGACTTAAGGTGGCTTGCTCATCCTCTAGTGGAGGCAGATAAGGAAACAGGTGACTTCATATTGACGTAAATAGCTCCCCTTCCTTGGCGCCCTGTGTCCCACTGGCTCCACGCTCTTCAGGGGTTTACCCACTGAGCCCTCATGCTGCCATGTAGAGCATGACCTTCACCCCATTTCCTAGATAAGAAGACTGGGGGACAAAGAGGCCCAGGCTGTTAGCCCACTTGCTTGCTGCTGCTCCTCTGACATATTATAACTGTGACACAATATGCAACAGAGCATTCTAGCAGAGTTTTCCAGGGTCTGTCTGCACAGAGGGATGAGTCATGGTCCATCCGTGGAAATCAGGAGGAGGAGGAGGAAAAGGAGTGGCCTTGGGGTTGCCAGAGAAGTTATGAGTGTACAACAGTCCAGCTCCTGAAGAGGAACCTATGCTTATTGCAGACTTCTGTTGGGGGTGGGGGAGAAGGCATGTACTGAATGTTGATAACACCCGTGTGTGTATGTGTATAGGATTATATCTTATGTCACATCATATTATGACAATTTATGTACATCACTTTGCCGACAGAGGTCCTAATAGTCAAGCAGTCAAGGGGTTTTTCCAGAAGTCATGTACAGATGTGAGAGTTGGATCATAAAGAAGGCTGAGCCCCCAAAGAATTGGTGCTTTCGAATTGTGGTGCTGGAGAGGACTCTTGAGAATCCCTTAGACAGCAAGGCTATCAAACCAGTCAACCCTAAAGGAAATCAACCTTGAATATTCACTGGAAGGACTGATGACGAAGCTGAAGCTGAAGCTCCAATACTTTGGCCACCAAAAGAACTGATGCGAAGAACTGACTCATTTGAAAAGACCCTGATGCTGGGAAAGACTGAAGGCAAAAGGAGAAGGGGTGGCAGATGATGAGATGGTTAGATGGCATCATGATTCAATGAACATGAATCTGAGCAAACTCTGGGAGACAGAGGAGCCTGGTGTGCTGCAGTCCGTGGGGTCACAAAGAGTTGGACACGACTTATCGACTGAACAGTATATGTGTTCTCTCCCTACGGACAGTTGGGTTCTTTGAAAGCTGGGAATTCATGTTAGCTGTCTTTGAGTCTCTGAGAACTTCAAACACGATATAGTAGACACACTATACACCTTTGTTGACTGAGAATACAACCATACTTAGTTTTATTGCACTTTGCAAATATTTCTTTCTTTTTTTAAAATAAATCCAAGGTTTGTGTCAACCTGTGTTGGGCAAGTCTATTGGCATCATTTCCCCAAAAGTGTTTGCTGCTCACTTCAGGTCTTGATAATTCTCATGATAGTTCAAACCTTTTTTTTTTTTTTCGGCTGGGCTGTGCAGCATATGGGATCTCAGTTCATCAACCAGGGATTGAACCTGCTCCCCTTTCAATGGGAACGAGGAGTCTTAACCACTGGACCACCAGGGAAGTCCCCAAACCTTGTCATTCGTATAAGCTTTGTTATGCAGATCTGTGATCAGTTGATCTTTGATGTTCCTACTCACTGAAGGCTCAGATGATGGTTAGCATTTTTTAGCAATGAAGTACTTTTAAATTAAGGTATGTACACTTTAAAAGACAATGCTATTGTACAGTTAACGAACTAATTGTATGGTGTAAATGTAACTTTGGTATGTACTGGGAAACCAAAAAAAAAAAATGCATGAGACTCGCTTTATCGTGGTGGTCTGGAACCCAAACCAATGGAGCCTCCTAGGTCTGCCTGTGGATGCCTGGCCTATAAGCGAGGTGGGGGCCGGGGGAGGCAGAGAAGCACATCTTGACTGATGCTTTGTTCTCAGGAGCATCTAGAGCATCAGGAAGCCTCTGGTGCTGGGACCTTCAGGGCACAGAGGTCTGGGTGGGGGGCGGGGATACGATGATATTCTCACCATCAGCTGCTTGATGGTGGGGTGTTCCTCAGCCTCCCGGCCCGAGGCAGGCTCCTTGTGGACAATCTCCACCCGGATGTCATTCTTGGCCGACACAACACCTTTGAGATCTGGACGTGAAATAAGAAAGCATAGACGACAGACAATTGTTATCTCAGACTTCAAGGCCTGAGTTGTCAAGCTCCCCGCTCCCCTTGGGTCTACTCTCTGGCCCCTGAACTCAGCAGTTTCATGCATCCCCCCCCCCGCCCCTCCCACCCCCACCCCAGTAATAGAACACCTGTCTGCACGTGCTGTGGGCTGCTGTTGGGGCAGGGCCTTCTCTGAGGGCTCCTGGTTGCACATTTCTCAGCCTTTCACTCCTGCTCCCGTGGCCACTGGTCATCCTACTAAGTTCTCACCTCCTTCTAGGAGTCTTCTCTGACCTGCCCTACCCAGCTCTGGTCTCTCTGTTCAGATAATCCCACCTCTGATTGTGGGAAAGGACCTGGAGATCCCCTGGTCCAGCTCCCACCCGAGGTGGAAGCACCCCTGCACCAGTGTGGTCCAGCTTTTGTGATGGAGAGCTTAACGGCTTCTAGAGCGGGGAGCCCATTGATAACCTAGAGAGAGCTCTGCTAGGAAATTGCTGCTAAAATACACTTCCCTATGGAGCCCATTGAGTGGGCGGGAAGGGAGGGCCTGACCCTGCATCCTTGGGAGCCTTCAAGAGAGCAAGGCTGCTCAGCTTGGAGGGGAGGACACAGGCAGCCTTTTTCCATCACGTGAAGGCTGCCAAGTGGAGGAGGGAGCAGGCTTCCTCCGCTGACTCACGTGGTGCCTTATGCTCACAGAATGGTAGAGCGGGTGGGACTCTGAAGGTCACTTCAGCCGGCCCCTTGCTGCCACACAGGAGGAAACGGACGCCCGGAGTAGCTGTGGCTTGCCCGGGGGTCACTGGGTAGAAACGGTGGGGCAGCAAGACTGTGTCTCTATTGTTCCCACGGCTCCACCATCCCATCTACCCTTCCCGGTGTCTGTCGAGCACACAGAATTTCAGAGCTACACTCAGAATGGAGAGTCCAGGCACACATGATTCAAGAGGGCATCAACACCCCCACTTTATGGCTAATGACTAAAGGCCTTTTAAGAGTCCACACGAAGCAATTCCCTGAGTGCTTTTGTTGTTTATTTTTGTGTGTGGGTGACCGGCTTTTCTGGTTGGATTAGCAGATCTCAAGGGCAAGGATTCCCGCCCCCCACCCCCGCCCCTCCCGAGGGATTTCAGTACAGTTCTCAAAGCACAGGGAGTGCGGTGTGTGTTCGATCCAAGGTGCCAGCCGACGGCCCCGCGGGAGGACGTCCACTTCTGTCCAGCTCAGCATCAGTCACGTGCCCAAGTCAGGTGCCTTGCCCCGCACGCGGAAAGATACGTGAGACCCGGCCCTGCCCCTGAAGCTCACAGCACTGGTGGGGCCCCTGTTGCTCCCGCTTACTTGCTCTCCGGGGCAGCCTAAGCCTGACCTTTTCCTCTGTCCCCCTCCCCGAGCTCCCGGCTCTCCCTCCCGTACTTCTCTGGGAGCGGGCGCAGCAGAAGGCCACGATGGTTGCCAGAAGGACGAGGAAGGCCACGCCAGCTCCGACGGCCACCCCGATGATGACCGCCATCGGTACAGCCTCTGCGGGAGAGAAGGAGGCGCGCTGACTGGGGAGCTGGGACAGTCCGCTCTCCCCCGGGGACCCCACCCAGCTCCTCGGGCTCAGCCCCTGCCCAGCTCTGGGCATGGACGCGCCTGGGAAAGGCCGCGGGGGCCTGGGCAGGCTCCGGCAGAGGCCACGGGGGTCAGCTCGGGCGGGGACGGGTCACGTGGAGGGGGCAGGGGGACTGAGAAAGATGGGGAGCAGTGATGAGGGGGAGACAGGCAAGCAGACACGGGAGGGGCGGGGAGCGTGGAGATGAGAGGCGAGGCTGGGTGCAGCTGAGTGCCCCGCGGGCGTAAACCAGGAGAGTCTTAAGTCCCTGGCTTTTCTTTGGCAGATGACCATGTCACTGCTGCTGCTTTTGTTTGCTCTGTCGTTTCCTTCTCTTCCCTTTCCCAGGGCTGGGGGTGGACACGGACAACCAGGTTTCAGAGAGTTTTCAGGTCTGAGGCAGTTTCAGGGCCTGGGCATCACAGGTGGAAGGTGCCAGAGGCAAGTCTTAGAGGCGGGAGGGCAGGATCAGAGCTCCCCGCCCACTTCTTTTTGAAGAAAAAAAAAAACTTTTTTTTTTTCTCCAATTTTTCGGTCACGCCGTGCAGCACACAGGGATCTTAGTTCCCTGAGCAGGGATCGAACCCATGCCCCCTGCAGAGTCCTAACCACTGGACCACCAGGGATTTCCTTCCCCCCACCTCTTTAAGGAGAGAGACCCAGTCCTGCTCCCGCCTCTCCTGGGCCAGTCTCCCGGGCAGGAATCCTGACACGCCACCCTGCCAGAGAGGCGCCTGGAACGCCAGCCAGGCAGGGCTTCACTTCCTGTCGAGTTCCTGAAGTGTGTCTCATGCCCCCCTCCAGTAGAGACGGGTGGGGAGGCGGAGGGTTAGGGTGACATTAGGGTGGTGGGGTCGCTCTTCCAGACAGTCCAGACTTTTCTGTGGTGGCAGAGGGGGCCTGAGCATAAGATGTGGGGCCCTGAAGTGTCCATGGGGGGATAAATAAGGAATGGGAGGGCCAGCTTAGGGCTCACAGAGTCCAAGCCTCCCATTTACAGATGGACACCCGGAGGCCCAGAGAAGTCAAGTGACTTGGTTAAGGACACGCAGATGCAGCAGAACCAGTGCAAACCCAGGTCTCCTCTTAAACGCCCTCCTCATTCTGCCCAGCTCCGCACACTGCGTCACATGGATCTTCCACCTTCACAGCCTTTGTACGGCCCAGACCAACCAACTTTACCTCTCCTTTCTCATCTGTAAACTGGGATGGTAACAGTGCCTGCCTTGAGGCGGGTGGTGGGGGGGTGGTGGTGGGGGTTTTATTGTTATTGTTTAGTCGCTAAGTCACATCCTACTCTTTGCAACCCTATGGACTGCAGCCTACCAGGCTCCTCTGTCCATGGGATTTTCCAGGCAAGACGACAGTGAGTTGCCATTTCCTCCTTCAGGGGATCTTCCTGACCCAGGGATCGAACCTGCATCTCCTGTATTGCAGGTGGGTTCTTTACCACTGAGTCACCAGGGGAGACCCTTGGGATTCATGTAGATAAATGCAGGCAGGTAAAGGCTGGCACAGGCTGGTACCCGAAACTGTGCAAGACTTTGCCCCTGTGTCTGTGTGGGAAGGAGGACCACAGCAGATACAACGAGAGCAAAGTCCCTTTTAGAGGACTTTCGAGGTCCTCTCCCACCGCGTGTTCTCAGAGTAGATGACTGGGACTCCAGGTGTCCTGTCTTCAACTGGGGTTGGCCTCTTGTCTCACTGTTGTTTTCTTTAAAGAGAAGAAAAGAGGAGGAACCTGGCAGACTGCAGCCCCTGGAGAGGCTGGCGGGAGAGGGAGGGGTCCCTCTCCCAGAAGGAGCAGGTGCCCCAGTGGTGGGCAGTGTCGGCTGTCACTCTGGGATTTCCCTTCCAGCCCAAGACTTGCACACTGGTCCATTCATCACCTGCCTAGTGGCGGCTGAGACCCCTGTAGGGGTGGCAGGGGAGGTAACAAACAGGAGGTGTTGGCCTGGTCTCACGAGTCAGAAGTGAGACAACGGGCTTGACCTCAGCCAGCCCCATGAGCTGCTTCTGACCGTGAGATGGTTCCGTCTCAGGTTTCAATTCCTCACAGGAAGGAAAACTGCTTTGGAAGTTCGTTGGTGCAATGCTTTTGAATTTGATGAATTTGGGTTGCACTTAAGTTTCTCCCAGGAAGTCTAGGAGTCCTTGGAAAACTCCGGTTTTGTGTCAGCTGAGCCCAGAGCAAAGGATGAAAGTGGAAGGGTCCTTAACCTCCCTGGGCCTCAATGTCCGTGAAACCCAAGAACCAGGAAAGTGGTATCTAGGGTGGGCTCTGCCTCTGGCGTCCTTGAGGCCACATTTCCTTAAGTTGTTAACAGCTGGGTAGGGTGTGGGTGTGTGACCATCTTATCTGGAGAACTGTCTTAGTCGGGGGGATGGGCAGAGGGAGAGGGTCCCGTGTGGCAGGGCACGCGGGTGGCATTCCCTCCGTAAAGGCTTATGCATGTTTCCTCCTTGCCCGGTCACCTGTACAGGGTGTCCCTGTCTAGACAGGGCTCTCTGGGATGTGCCTGGAGAGGGACAGAGTCTTCCCTCCACCCCAGGAGTCTCAGCCACCAAGGAAGGTGTCAGGGAGCTCAGAGGAGTGTGCAGACCCAGGAGAGATGGAGACAGGGGAACACAGCAGGAGTCTGTGTTGCCCCGTTGAGTGGCCTGTGTAGGAACTGATGCTTCTAAAGGGGCCATCTGCCCAGAGAAGGTGGGTGTGCGTGGGCCCCACCAGGAGCTTGTGGGAGGAACTGACCAGTCCTAGCTCCTTCTTGGCCAGTGTGGTGGGAGAACCGGGGCACAGCATCCCACATCTTCATCAGGGCCTTTGTCAACACAGAGGGGTCTGGCTTGCAAAGTCCTGATTCTCTTTGCTGGGTTTCTCCCTGGGAGTGGGGGTTTCTCCTCTTGAGGAGGTCCCAAGACAGAACAACTCAACCCAGGAAGCCTGGTGACCCCTTGGCTGCTGAAGTCCCTGGGGAGGGAGGCAGTGCCTAGCGGTCTGGTGGTGAGATGACAGTTCAATGGGGAATGCAGGAGTGGCGTTAGGAGCCAGCCATTGGAAAGCGTGGGGTTAGCATGGATTGTGTGGGTCACAGCAGAGCGGGACAGCCCTGATGTCCTGGAAGCGACGGCCAAGCTGGTGGTGATGGTGAGAAGCGGGAGGAGTTGGGCAGGGCCAGCTGACCCCAGCGGGGGGGAGCTGACCCCAGAGGGGAGGAGCCAGGGCTTCCAAAGAGGAAGGATGGGAGGGAGGACAGGGAGGAGCAGGAGCTGGTGTTTGGAATGCAGGGAGCCTGCGGGCGCAGCCACAGAGGAGACAGGTCTCGGGGGTCCCTAGACCCACCCTGCCTGAGGACCTGGCCCTGCTGCTCACTGCACTAAACCCTCAAGATGGGGGGGAGGGCAGAGAAGTTAGCGGCCTGCCCCGGCCTCCCTACCCCCACTTTGGGCTCCCTCCCCCGCTGGCCCAGCGGTCCCTTCCCCATCCCGGGAGTCTCATGTCTCCTTCGTACCTGCTTCCAGCCCGGCTCCCGACTTCATTTCCGAACCTGTGTGGAAATAAAGCAAGCGTCCACAGCCAGGGCCTGGCTGGCCAGGGTGGGACGGGACTGGGGGTGGTGGGGTGGGGTGGGGCAGCCATCTGGAGGGTCAGAGGGATGGGAGGGGGTGCTCCCTCCTGCATCATGGCTCTGGGACACCCCAGAGATCTGGACTAGCCAACCTGAACTTGGAGTTGGTTCAGATTGACTTAGAGGCTCCAGGGGAGTGGGGCTAGAGAGAGAGGTGGGGGTGGGGGGTGATTCTGAGGAGGTGGGGGTGCGAGGGGAGGGGAGGGCACAGGAGTGGGGACATGGAGGGGAGACACGGAGGGTAAGCCACAGGGGAACGGGAGGGTTGGGATGATGTGTGGGTGATATTATGCAAATTATGTGGGCAAAGCACTATGCGAAGCAGCATCTATTAGGGAGGAGGTGTTGGGAACTGCGTGATCCACAGGGGAGCCCTGAGGCCCCCGGGGCCCAGCTGAGACCACCTGCTCAGCCCAGAATCTCTCCCAAGGCCGGGCAGCGTGTGGGTGGGCCTTCATCTTGGAAGGGTCAGAGACTGCCAGGGCCCAGGCCCCCTGGACCCTCCTGTCTGCCCTGGACTGACCCCCTGGAAAAGGGGCGAGACCTCCAGACAACCTCAGGACCCGGAGCGCCGCTGGCAGACTGCCTGCCCAGCTTCTCTGGAATCCCCTCCATGCCCCTCTGAGGCTCCCTCTTCCGAGCCTGAGAACTGCCCTCTGGCTGGCATCTCCTTCCCAGCACCATGGTCCATGTGTGTCTCTCGGGGAACTGCAGACGGCTGAGCCCGGCCCCCTGCACGCCAGGGACTGGACAGTGCAAGGGTCACCCCTCAGCTTAGCCGGGGCACCCTGGAGGCAGCCCTGTGCCCCCAGGACCCTGGAGGACCTCGCCTGGGGCCCTGCCCTCGCAGGGAGCGGCCGCGGCCCATGGCCCTGGCGGTCCTGGCCGCCCCACCTTGCTCCTTGAGCCGGATGATCTCCGTGTCGGAGCCGAAGCTGTTCCAGGCGGTGCAGTTGTAGATGGTCTGGAAGTCGGCCCTCACGATGTTGCTGATGGTCAGCGTGGAGATGACGCCCTCCTCTGTGCTGACCGTCTCCACCGTGTAGCGGCCCGATGTGCCTGATTCCAGCACATTCTCCTTCCAGGACCAGGCCTGCCCAGGTGCACAGAATCAGGAGGTCATCCCCCAGGACCACCCGTCAGGACCACCGGGTGGCCTCCCCGCCCCTGGGTGCACGCGGCCAGGTCCACAGTCATGATCACTGCCACAGAGCACACATCACAACACGTGTGCACACAGCACAGCATGCACACACATCACAACATGGACACACCCACCACCCCACACACAGACACACACACACACATCACAACATGGACACACCCACCACCCCACACACAGACACACACACACACATCACAACATGGACACACCCACCACCCCACACACAGACACACATCACAACACGTGTGCACACAGCACAACACGTGTGCACACAGCACAGCATGCACACACCCACCACCCCACACACAGAGACACACACACACAAATCACAACATGGACACACCCACCACCCCACACACAGACACACACACACACATCACAACATGGACACACCCACCACCCCACACACAGACACACATCACAACATGGACACACCCACCACCCCACACACAGACACACATCACAACATGGACACACCCACCACCCCACACACAGACACACATCACAACATGGACACACCCACCACCCCACACACAGACACACATCACAACACGTGTGCACACAGCACAACACGTGTGCACACAGCACAGCATGCACACACATCACAATATGGACACACCCACCACCCCACACACAGACACACATCACAACACGTGTGCACACAGCACAGCATGCACACACATCACAACATGGACACACCCACCACCCCACACACAGACACACATCACAACATGGACACACCCACCACCCCACACACAGACACACACACACACAAATCACAACATGGACACACCCACCACCCCACACACAGACACACATCACAACACGTGTGCACACAGCACAGCATGCACACACCCACCACCCCACACACAGAGACACACACACACACATCACAACAAGGACACACCCACCACCCCACACACAGACACACATCACAACATGGACACACCCACCACCCCACACACAGACACACACACACACATCACAACATGGACACACCCACCACCCCACACACAGACACACATCACAACACGTGTGCACACAGCACAGCATGCACACACATCACAACATGGACACACCCACCACCCCACACACAGACACACATCACAACACGTGTGCACACAGCACAGCATGCACACACCCACCACCCCACACACAGAGACACACACACACACATCACAACAAGGACACACCCACCACCCCACACACAGACACACATCACAACACGTGTGCACACAGCACAGCATGCACACACATCACAATATGGACACACCCACCACCCCACACACAGACACACATCACAACACGTGTGCACACAGCACAGCATGCACACACATCACAATATGGACACACCCACCACCCCACACACAGACACACATCACAACATGGACACACCCACCACCCCACACACAGACACACATCACAACACGTGTGCACACAGCACAGCATGCACACACATCACAACATGGACACACCCACCACCCCACACACAGACACACATCACAACACGTGTGCACACAGCACAGCATGCACACACCCACCACCCCACACACAGAGACACACACACACACATCACAACAAGGACACACCCACCACCCCACACACAGACACACATCACAACACGTGTGCACACAGCACAGCATGCACACACATCACAATATGGACACACCCACCACCCCACACACAGACACACATCACAACACGTGTGCACACAGCACAGCATGCACACACATCACAATATGGACACACCCACCACCCCACACACAGACACACATCACAACATGGACACACCCACCACCCCACACACAGACACACATCACAACACGTGTGCACACAGCACAGCATGCACACACATCACAACATGGACACACCCACCACCCCACACACAGACACACATCACAACACGTGTGCACACAGCACAGCATGCACACACCCACCACCCCACACACAGAGACACACACACACACATCACAACAAGGACACACCCACCACCCCACACACAGACACACATCACAACACGTGTGCACACAGCACAGCATGCACACACATCACAATATGGACACACCCACCACCCCACACACAGACACACATCACAACACGTGTGCACACAGCACAGCATGCACACACATCACAACATGGACACACCCACCACCCCACACACAGACACACACACACACATCACAACATGGACACACCCACCACCCCACACACAGACACACATCACAACACGTGTGCACACAGCACAGCATGCACACACATCACAACATGGACACACCCACCACCCCACACACAGACACACATCACAACACGTGTGCACACAGCACAGCATGCACACACATCACAACATGGACACACCCACCACCCCACACACAGACACACACACACATGTCACAACATGGACACACCCACCACCCCACACACAGACACACATCACAACACGTGTGCACACAGCACAGCATGCACACACATCACAACATGGACACACCCACCACCCCACACACAGACACACATCACAACACGTGTGCACACAGCACAGCATGCACACACATCACAACATGGACACACCCACCACCCCACACACAGAGACACACAGACACACATCACAACATGGACACACCCACTACCCCACACACAGACACACACACACATCACAACAGAGATATACACACCCTCCCACACACACATCACCCCACACACAGACACACACATACATCACAACAGGGATATACACACCCCCCCCACACACACATCACAACATGGACACACCCACTACCCCACACACAGAGACACACACACATCACAACAGGGATATACACACCACCCCCACACACACATCACAACATGGATACACATACCACACACACATCACAACATGGATACACCCCCCACCCCCCCCCACACATCACAACATGGATACACCCACCACCCCACACACAGCACGTGTGCACACACACACACACCACAACACGGATGCACCCATCACCCCACACACAGCATGCGTGCACACACACACACAACACGGATGCACCCACCACCCCACACACATCACACACACATACCCACCCACCCACAGGCACACATAGAGGCTGGGCCACCTCAGAGGGTGTTTCCATCGACAAGGGTCCCTACGTGGCTCTGGGTTGGAACGTTTTCCCTGGGGGAACAGGGGGCCCTGGGGTAGCGATGGGAGACCCTCCTTCAGATGGCGCCCCTACAGGTGGCGAAGACCAGCCCCAGGCTGACTGAGTCTGGTTTTGTTACTCTGTATGTCTGTACAAAGGTTATGCTCGGAGAGAATCTTCATCTAGCTTGGTTTAGGATGGTGATGGTTTACTGATTCTCAGACCCATTTCAGGTACACTGTACCCCACCCTTCTTGTTGCAGTGTTCAGTAACAGAATGAGTGCTAGGGGATGGGGTGGATGAGCCCCAGGCCGCTTCCAGGTCACTCCTGGTTGCGGGGGGTGCCCTGGGCTCTGTGGGGGTGTTTAAGTGCATCTGACACCATCACCAAATGTTCCCCGGGGGTAGAACTCCCCCAGTTGAGAACCCCTGGCCTCGAGTCCCATCTCCATGAAGACAAAGACTGTGTGAACATGTTCAGGGGTGGACTGGATATTATCTACAATGGGACAGTGTTGGTAATGTTCCATTGACAATGAAACATAATTACACTTATACTTTAAAATCAATTTAAAGGGCCAAAGGAACAGAGAAACAGGTGTTAGTCCTATGCATGAACTTTTGCCATTTTTGTGTGACTCAGACAGTGAATGAGCTCAACCCTGAGGAAGTGTGTAATTGTAACAATGTCTTCATCTACAGGACACCTTAGTTGTCGGGCATGTGCCCCTGACCGCCACTCTGGCACCGCTGTCCCCGGGAAAGGTAAAGCTGCCCTGTGAACTTGAGCCTTCCGGCAGGACCACCCGGGGCCCTGGGGCTTCCCTTTCTTTTTTTCCGTCCCCAGCTCCCGCCAGTTTCAGCTGAACTTGGCTGAAGACCCCACTTTTACAAAGGCAAATACCCAGGAGGGCCAGGAGTAAGCTAGTTGGGCAGCCTTAGCCGCACTGCCCTGCAGGGAGCAGGGTTTGGAGGAAGGGGGCAGGGAGAATGGAGTGATTCTTTTGCAGGGAAACTTTTGCAGCGTCCTCCATGCACAGCCAAGCAGAGGAGGCCTCCGGAGGTGCAGAGATGGGTCTGCCGACTATAACTGCTTCCTGTTTACGACTTTGCTAACGGGTGGCCTTGAACCCAGGAAAGGGAAGAGATGGTTTATCTTTTCCTTCTGCTGCCCTCTTTCCCCTCTGCCCTCAGGATGCAGAATGCAGTCAGAGGCACAGCTGAGAGGCAGAGTGGAGTTAAACATACCCACGGGTGAGGAGCACACCCCATCCTGAGAAAGGAAATTGCCCGTGACTTTTGTCTTCGTGATGCTTTCCCAAGGAATAGTTTTTCTCAATAAGAAAGGGAGAGCAGAGACGAGACTGACCAGCCAGATGGCTGAGCAGCTGCAGGCGGAGATGACCCACCAGACTGTCTGGTGTGTGTGGGGGGGGCGGCTGTGCCCCTTGCTCACCACCACCCCTCCCACAAGCCCACCCCCAGGCACTCACGATGCGGTCGGGAGGTGGCGTGCTCCGGATGAAGCACTTGATCTGGCCCTTTTCCCCATGCAGGGCATGCTGGGTTTGGGTGCTGGAGATGATGGGGGGTCCTGTTGGGGAGACAGCATCATATCAGAGATTCGGGAGGGGCGGGCTCCTGGCTGGACCCCTCACGGCAAGTTCAGAAGTTTATACATCCATTCAGTCATTCAGCAAACATTTAGCAGGGGCTTCAGAGATAAAGGAGGCATCAGTCATAAAGCTTTAAGGGGAAGATGAGTGAGCGAATGCCTCTAAATCAGGATTCCCAGAGACATGAAAAGCTGTAATAGAAGATGGTGGTGGTGACAGAAAGAGGTGAGGTTGACACCAGGCAAAGTGCTAACCGACCTCACAGGAGAGAGAAATCTACCTGGCAGGTGGGGAAAGCTTTATGAAGGAGGCGGTAAACCTAAGAAGGGAGTGGGGGAGGGGTCAGGAAGGAAGGAAGGTAATGTCACCTCCCCTAACTAAAGTCAGTTCAGTTCACTTCAGTTGCTCAGTCATGTCCGACTCTTTGTGACCCATGGACTGCAGCACGCCAGGCCTCCCTGTCCATCATCAACTCCTGGGGCTTACTCAAACTCATGTTCATCGAGTCGGTGATGCCATCCAACCATCTCATTCTCTGTCATCCCCTTCTCCTCCTACCCTCAATCTTTCCCAGCATCAGGGACTTTTCAAATGAGTCAGTTCTCCGCATCAGGTGGCCAAAGTACTGGAGTTTTAGCTTCAGCATCAGTCCTTCCAATGAACACCCAGGACTGATTTCCTTTGGGCTGGACTTGTTGGATCTCCTTGCGGTCCAAGGGACTCTCAAGAGTCTTCTCCAAAACCACAGTTCAAAAGCATCCATTCTTTGGCGCTCAGCTTTCTTTATAGTCCACTCTCACGTCCATACATGACCACTGGAAAACCATAGCCTTGACTATGACCTTTGTTGGCAAACAAGTCACCTCGGCTGTTGGATTTTAAGCCATTCCCTCATATATCCAGTAGAGGGCGCGCTCGCCTAACAAATCAGTGTCCTTGGCCGGACAGGCAAACCCGGCAGGAAGGGAAATAAAAGGTGTTCTCCCCCAAGTGGGGAATTGCCCCACATAGATGGACTGGGTTGGGTACGTTCACAGCCTCCATCTCCCAGGTGTCTCAGGAGATCCCTTAGTTCATCACCTTGTCTGCCTCCATGTGCATACCAGCCAGCCCAGGTGGGACCATGGCTCCAAAGCTGACCTTGATGTTATCATATCCGGCCCAGCTGTGCGTGGGTGTACAGGTCATGATCATGGACGTCCCCGGGGACACCTGGCTCATTTACCACATCAGACAGCCTGGAAGGTCCACCAGGAATCCGGCAGTGCTGCCCGTCCATTTCTGCCTGTTTGCTAACCCTGGTCTCCCCTGCATGGTGCCCGCCTGGCAGTGAGACGGGGACGGAGGAGACTGGGGCTCCTGGCTCGGCTGGGCAGTTGAGGTGAGGGGTGCAGGGGCAGAAACTCTTGTGCCCTCTTCCCAGTCCCTGGGGTAAAGTTTGGGGCTTAGGTGGCAGGAAAGAGAACTAAAGCGAGGGACCTGGAGGGAGGGCAGATTTATGCTGGGAACAAAACAAAAATTGCTCCAAACATATTTGCTATATATTAGCCACCTGAATTAAAGCAGATTTGCATTTCCACGAGTAGCTCTCAGCCAAGGGGAGAAACATCCTGGGAATCGCCGAGGTGACTCCTATTGCGTTTAGGCTGGGAAATGGCTTGGCGCTGGGTGTGGGGGGGACCCTCATTATAAGGGCTCCCACCCTCAGGGTTTCTTAGATCCCTCAGCTCCAAGAAGCCTTTGGCTTTTGAAAGGCAGGAGTGCTGCTGGGCTGAAAGTGATGATCCCATAAAACCTCTTCGCCTTCACTTCCCAGGAACTAGGATTTCCCTGGTAGGGGTGGGGTGGGGTGTCTTAGCTGTTCTTAAAGTGACCAGGAAAGACCCTGATGCTGGGAAAGATAGCGGGCAGGAGGAGAAGGAGGTGACAGGGGATGAGATGGCTGGATGGCATCACTGACTCAATGGACACAAGTTTGAACAAACTCCAGGCAATGGTGAAGGACAGGGAAGCCTGGCTGCTTCAGTCCATGGGGTTGCAAGGAGTCAGACATGACTGAGCGACTGAACAACAACGAAATGCATACACATATAAGGGCTTCTTATAAGAAAACAGAAATCCGGGTAAGGGTAGACAGGGTTAGGGGAATCGGAACGCAGCAGCAGTATGCTTTCTATCCCGTTTCTGCAAATCCCAGGTTTGAGCCCAATCAGTCGAGATCTAGGCAAGTTTATTCCCCAAAGGGCGATGGCCAGCAGTAAGAACCCAGCCTGGGTGCCTTTGGATGAGAACCTCATCTCATTTGGGGTTTGTTGGTAGTGTGGGTCCCTTGGGTCCAGGCCCTTCCCAAAGGTCTTCACCATCCCTCCACCTGTTCTCCAGACACAAGTACAGATAAGTTCATTCCCAAGTCTACTCCAGTGTGGGCTGGCAGGGTCCTCTCTGCGGGCCAGTTCATTCATCCCCCTGCCTTCTTGCTTCACTTCAGTCTCTTGGGTGTTTCCCTTCCTCGTGGCCAAGGGGAGCCTGTGCCAAAGGATTGGAGGCAGAGGAGGGGATTGGAAAGAAGGACGCTAGAGGGTACAGATCATACCCTGGAGAGACCCCAGGGCCCAGGCTGGGGTGTCCCATCCAAGAGGAATGTCCCTCTGGATGTGTTGCCTCCTCAAGAAACTGCTTTGATGCTCATTGGAAAATGCTTGAAAGTCTGAAGTGACGCGCATTTCAGTCCCTCCTGTATCGACCGTGTTTCCCCCAGACATGAGGATGCTCCTTGAAAAGCTTCAGGCTTGCGGGGCCATGTGTGAGTCTGAAGGTCCCCAGCCGGACTGGTCACAGGGCCATTGGAGCAAAGCTGGCTGCAGTCACGGGCCACCACGACTCCCTGCGCCCTCCCGGGGGGGTAGTGGGGAGGCCACTGATTTCACCAGGGCCTGCCACCGGAGGAGCCGAGTGTCAGACACCAGAGCCGGCAGGAAAAGGCTGCAGCCCGTGTTGCCATGGATATACGGAGGCGCGATCAGATGCTGTTATTTTTAGCCCTGCAGCGCAAATTTATTGGTGGCATCCTGGGGACACGTAGGAAAGGCAGGAAAGCTCCCGAGACCGGGTTCTGCCCGGGACAGACGGCTCTGGGGTCTGAGTGGATTCACCCTCCCTCTGGGGTTGGGGGGTGGGGAGGAGAAGAAAGAGGCTGGCTAAGGGGGACAGCAGAGGAGGGGCGGGGGCAGGGTGCGGTGAGGAAGCGCCAAGCTGGTTTGAGTTTCTAGCAAGGGGGAGGCCAGATGAGGCTGTCAGTGGGCAGCTTCCTGGGTCGAGAGGAAGCCACTCGGGCTGACTTCGGGGTCTTGGCTCAGCCCCGCGCCTGGGCCCTGGCCTGCAGCAGCCCCACAGAGTTGGGTCGGTGGTTCGGTTCTTGCCAGGGCTCAGAGCCTCGGGGCTTCGATCCGAGGCGGGCTATGTGGGAGCAGGGACTCACACAGAAATGAAACCCAGCAGAAGGAAGTTGATTGGAAACCCGGGGTCGGGGTGCCCTTAGCGTCCTCACCCCCTCAGAGCAGCCGAGCTGGCTGCCGAGTGCACAGGACAGCAGGAACATGGGATTCCCGTCCCGCTGCTCCAGCCTTCCAGGGTCTGACCTGAGCTAGGCCCCCGCCTCTCTGTGACTTCTGCATCCCGTGATCCAGGCCCCGTGCCCTGAACAGCTCACGTGACGGCTCTCTGGTAACTCAGACTGTGTTCTCTCCTGCTCTGCTGTGACCCTACTATAGATAAGACGACCAGTTCCCTGCCCTCAGGGGACCCCTTGAACTTGGCCCTGTGGGGATGGTGGTGGGTCTTCCTGAGCGGTTCTAAAGCAAAGGGAAGAGGTAGCCCAGGAGTCACAGAGATGCCCTCTAAAATTCCCCACCAGGGCCAAGGTCAAGGTCAAAGGATGGATATGGGATCTACGTTTGTTGCCCATTGACCCTCTGACCTCTTTCCTGATCAGGAAAAAAATCCATCAGCCATCACTCTTAGGGCTGAGATCTCGTAGAAGGAGCACCCAGGAGGGTGACCAGGAAACCACCCGGGTCCCTCCTCACGTCCGGGCTGGGTTCTGACGTGGACTTGAAGAGGTGGATGGAACACTATAGACCCAGAGCAAAAATCAAGCCCTCGGAGCAATGCCTGGGACCCTTGTGGCCCCCCGCCCCTGCCCTGGCATGAGTGGGGTCTTACCATTGACAGTCAGGGTCACCTCTCGCTCCCCAGCCCCCACCCGGGGCACCACGGCTCGGCACACGTATTTCCCCGCGTCCTCCTGGCGAACGGCTTTGAGGGTCAGGGTCTTCTCATTGCTCAGGACCTAGGAGAGGCGGAGAGGGTCGGACACCGGGGGTAGGGACTGGGCTCTGTCTGAACCAGAAGGGCTGAGAGGCGGGCAGGGGGGTGGTGGGGCTAGGTCTGCAGCATCTCAGCTAACAACCACGGGGTAAGGTAGGGGGCAGAATGTCTTATTACACAGCGTGCCAGGCGGACCGTCCTATGGGGGTAGCCCCAGCACAGAGGACCCTGTGAGGCTGAAGATGCTGCAGCCCTAAGCGGTGTGTGCAGGGGGGAGGCTGGAGTGAGAAAGTGCTATCCTGAAGCTGAGGATCCCCTGCAGGAGGAAATGGCAACCCACTCCAGTGAGAATCCCATGGAGAATCCCATGGGCAGAGGAGGCTGGCCTGGCTACAGTCCATGGGGGTCACAAAGTGTTGGACACATGAGAGACTAACACACTAACTTTTGGAGGGATGAGAAGGAAATAGGCTTTGGCATGCGATGTCTGAGTTGAGACCCCAGCTTCAGAGGTGCCTCCTTGTGTGGCTCTGGGCTCTAGTTCTCTTCTCTGTCCTTATCCCTATAATGGGGCGGTGACGCTTGGAGGACAGGGTGGTGTCCAGCACACAGTGGGGGACACAGAGCTCACTTTCCCCCTGCTTCCCTGCTTGAGGCTCTCACTGGTCTTCCTGGGAGGAGGGAGTTCTGAAACTCTTGGTACTTAAGTCGCTCAGTCGTGTCCGGGTCTTGTGACTCCATGGACTATAACCTGCCAGGCTCCTCTGTCCATGGGGTTTTCCAGTATTCCAAGAATACTGGCGTGGGTTGCTATTTCCTCCTCTAAAGAACACATACACTTTAAAAGAGGAGAGGCAAGGAGAAAGCAAGGCTTAACCACAAAGCTGAAGCTAATGACTATTAGGGGAAAGCTGAAAAACCTTTCTAGGGACTTTTCACCCCCAGCGTCTTGGTGACTACCTGCTTTTCTCATAAGGTTCACGGCAGGGTGAAACTGCGCTGGCTGAACGTGTTTAGGGCTAAGCCGGGTAGGTGTGGGTACCTGGGGCTCCCTCTCCCCTTTCTGGGGCCCCTCTTCCTACAGTTTACACGGGAGGCTCTCACCTCCAGTGTATGAGTGAGAGGGGCCCCGGGAGGCAGGTCCCCCCTGGCCTGAGGTCCCCCCACCCCGCCAGGCTCTCTGCGATCCCGGCTGTGGACTCACCACGCCCGAGCCCCGCTTCATCCAGACGATGGTCAGGGACGGGTTGCCCGTCCAGGCGCAGCTGAAGACGGCGTCCGAGCCTAGGTCCACGAGCACGGACTGGGGCTCTGTGGTCATCCTGGGCCCAACTGCCATGGGAGGAGGGAGGAGATGGGGCTCTGGTGGGCGGGGTGGGACCCTCCTGTCTGCCCCTCCTCTGCCCGAGTGTGCCTGCCCCGTCCATCTACGCCGGCCCATTCCCTTACAGGTCAGTCCTCTACCTGTCTGGGCCTGGGCTGGGAGGTAAGCAGGAGGACCCCTCTCCCCTAGCCCAGCCTCCCTGGGGCCCGCTGGGGAAGTAGGCAGCTCCAGGCCCAGAAAAAGCTGCTCTGGCCCCACTTCTGCCTGGATTTGCCCCCCCCCCCCCCCCCCCCCCCGTGCTCTCCCATCCCCTTCCCTCTGTCCTGATCCCAGGAAGCCCCACCCTGGCCCCAGGGTTTGGACGGAGGGGCCTGCCTCCCACCCCAGAATCTCTGTCTGCCTTCAAGTCAACTGCCCACCTCCTTCAGGCCTCAGCAGGTAACCTGGAGCCAAGTTTCCCCGTGCACCTAGCCCAGCTCCTGGGCCACCGCAGGGCCACTGCAGGGCTGAGAGATAAGGAGTGGGGGACTCCAGGCCTCCTGTGCAGTGTCAACCCCCACCCCCCACCCCGCCATTATCCTCTATCCCGGCCCCGCCCCGCCTCCTTTTCAATCACTGAAGGGGAGGCCTTCAGGTCCTTTCCCCACACCCCTCCTGTTAATGGAGGCTCCCCTGCCCCCACCCCGCCCTAACCAGAAGGCCCTGCAGACAGAGCCTGGGTCCCCAGAGCAGGTGCAGCGGTGGGATTTCAGGGGCAGTGACAGGCGGGTGTGCAGAGAGCTGCCTTCAGAGAGCAGGTGTGAAACCAGAGTCCAGAGGCCCGCAAGAGTCCCCTGATGCAAACTGGGAGTCACCGCGCTTCCTGCTGAGGCCGGTGGCGGCGAGAGGGCCAGGAATACAGTTTGTAAGAGTGCTTCTGAATCTGTACAGGGTTTTGGATGAGCTGACGGTCAACGCTGTGAACACAGCTGAGGGCTGGCTCCCCGAGGGTCCCTGCCTGGCCAGCAGTGAGGATGGGGAGCCCCTGATGGGAGCCTGACCCATCTCGGTCCTCATTCTGCTGCTCATCTGCTGTGTGACCTCAGACCTCCGTCCCCTCATCTGGGTGCTGGGAATAAGAATTCTAGCCTCCCTAGGTGAGTGTTTAAAAAAATTGATTTAATAGTTTTTTTTTTTTTTGGCCGTGCTGCTGTTTGTAGGATCTGAGTTCCCCAACCAGAGATGGAAACTTCGCCCTCTGCAGTGAAAGCATAGAGCTCTAACCACTGGACGCCAGGGCAGTCCCCTCCCTGGGAGATTTTGAGGGTCAAGATAAACACGAGACAGTACGTGGGGACGTTTTCTGTAAGGGGCGTGGATTCCGAGCTTGGGAGGCATTCTTATGTCGTGTGCAACGAGCCCACGATGGTGCCTCCAGCCGAGAGCGGAGACCAGCCAGAGCCTGTGAGCCAGGGAAGGCCCGAGCCACTCACAGTAGACGTCCACCGTGCGGCTGATGTTGGTGCTGCCCAGGGCGTTGGTCACCTCGCAGGAGACGGGCTCCGAGAAGTACGTGTAGTCCACGGTGGTCCGGTACACCTCCCCCGAGGCTTCCTTGATGATCTGGCCCCGCTTGGCCCACCTGCAACACAGGCACTGGGGCTGGTGCGGACCTCCCGCCGGGGGGGGGGGGCAGGACGTGTCCCACCCGCTGGAAGATGAGGCCTGGCAAGGGGCGGGGTGCGGCAGGCCCCCGAGGGGTCCCTTGGGGGAGCTTCCACAGCTGGGTTACTTCCGGGGCTCGGGAAGGGGTTGGTGGTGGTGTGGTGGGCTCTGGGCTGTGGGTCACCAGGCAGCCAGCAGCACTTGACTGATGGGTTATTCTGGAGGGAGGTGGGTTGACTTTCCAGTGGGTCTGCCCACGTGGCTGGCCAGGCAATGGTTAACCCAACCGCCAGACCCTGGGCAGCTTGGCTGTCCTGCTCTGAGCTACCTTGGGGGGTCTAGTCCTGGACCACACTGGAAAAGGAGGCCAAGCCTGTGAGTGAAGAGGCCAGCGTCTAGTGGTGTGTGCCCATTCATGCATGTACACCTGCACACACATGTGTACACACACGCACGGGCATCAGGAAGCTTGATTTCCAGACAAGACAAGAAGCTGATGGAGAGGAGACAGGTGTGGTCTCGACTGCCCGCCCATCTGCTTGGGCAGCTCTCCCAGTTCCCCTGTCCTGACTCCTGTCCCCAGCGTGGGTCCCATCATAGTGCCCCTCTCTCCCGAAAGCCCTTCAATCCTCTCCCAGGCTGGTACTCACTCATGTTCCTCCACCCCCTCTGCCTCCCACCCCAGCTCTGCTCCTTGGGGACCTGGGCTGTCTCGGCACTGCTTTATGGGACCAGGGGTTGGCGGGGGTGATGGGAAGACAGCTCTGCTGACTTCTTTCATTGGCCAGTTGACTGATGGATGTTTTGGGCCTGGCCCTGGGGCGGTGATCACTGTCCTGGTGCGGCAGACAGCAGAGCACCCCAGGGGTGCGTGTGCCCGTGGGTGTGGGGCTGGGGGCCCTCCTTACAGCTGCGCGAGGAGAGAGAATCAGAGCTTTCCCTGGCTTACTCCTATCATGGTTAAAACTTTTTAAAAACACACTTCTCAACAGGCGCTTCCTACTGTAGTTCAGGCCTGTTTTGGGGTACATGTCTTTTTAAATTTTTTTGCTTTTGGCCACCGTGTGGCACATGGGATCTTACTTCCCCGACCAGGGATTGAACCCGTGCCCCCTGAAGTGTAAGCAAAGTCTTAACCACTGGACCACCAGGAAGTCCCTGGAGCGCATGTCTTTGCCAGGGCTTGGGAGAGTCCCGTTATCCCGGGACCACGACTCCAGGTAGCCACATTCTCAGGGCCTCCTTTCCTGGGGTCACAGAGGCCTGGCCCCTGCCCTTCCCTCCACCTGCTCCTGCTTAGTCAGGCCATCCGGCTCGGGAGGTGGCCGTCTCCCAGTATCGCACAGAGCACCACGTTGACACTGTGCAGTTATTATCGTGAATTAATGTCAGATCGTTATTAAGAAGACAATTAATAATAACAATTACAGTTTAACAACAGAGCAAACCATAGCTCCCCGAGAGCTGAAGGAGCTTCCCAACAACCCATTATGAGTTATTCATGAATCATTTCAATCTCTAACTTTAATTTAATGACCACACTTAATAGTCAGGCACAGCTCCCACCTGAGGCGGATGAGTTCAGTCCGGGACACACAGTGGGGGTATCGGCGTCCAGCCCCTGCTCCACCCACCCTGCAGCCATGAGGGATGCTACGAGGAGGGGGCAGCCGGCTGGGCTAGGAGGAGACAGGTGAGATCCTCCTGCCCAGCCTGGATGCCTGCCTCTGGTTGCCCACAGCCCCAGGAAGCAGACTCTGCTGGGCAGTCCTCTTCCATTATTGGGGGCTCCTGGGGGAAGAGGGGGCTTTCTCCTCACCCGTCTGAGGTCCCTCACAGGGTGAACGCTCCCTACTGGGGCCCCCAGGAACTCAGAACAGCTGGGGCTATCTCTGGCCTGGAACTCAGCACTCCTGGCCACATGGGGCTCCTCTTCCCCAGACCAGACTGGCTTCCCCTCTCAGAGTCAAAGAAGGGAGACGGAAGAGACGCTGGAGGTCTGTGCAGCTGCTGCTCCCAGGTCCCCAGGGCCGGTCCCCGCCTTAGAAATGGGGGGCCACTGAGGGGAACTCAGAGACAGTCTGCTCCCAGGGTCCCAGGAGGCCAGCTGTGGGGCTGGGTCTCTGGGTTCACCCCACGAGTCCCCAGCCCACGTTTCACTCAGCCAGTCTTTTTCTTCCCTGTCTTTATTCCCCTCCTGTACAAAAAAAAAAAAAAAAAACAACCCAAAACAAAACCACAAAAACCCTCGGAGGGATCCCTTCCAGAAGCTCAACCCACTCACTGAAGCAGCAGGCCACACGACCAGGGTGAGCCAGAGAGGAAGTCCCACCCTCTCCCAGCTCCCCTCCCATCTCCTCCCCTCCCTGTCCCACCCCGGTCTCATCTCCCCTGCCATCTCCTCCCCTCTGCTCCCATCTCCTCCCTTCTCTAGTTCCTCAGCTTGGCCTCCTCCTCCTCTTTCCTCCAGTCCCTTCACTCTCCCACCTCCCACATGCCCGCCCCCGCCACCACCACTGTTTTCACCGCCTCGCCCAGCCCCGCAGAACAGGAGTCAGATTAAGCTTTTCCCAATCAATGTGTAATTTGTAAGAGGATTAATTATTTATATCACACAATCAGGAGGCTGGCTGTCACTGCCAACAAGCTGTCCTCCACTGCCCCGCCTTTCACACTGGCTGGCAGACCCCCGCCCTGCTCCCTGCGTGGTGGGGTGGGGGCCCCGAGACCTCAGAGGGGAGCAGAGAGGCAGGCGAGACATGCTCTAGGTGTGCTTGACCCAGGCAGCTGGTCCAGCCAAGTAATGGCTGAGTCAGGTTAGACGGCTCCCATATTCCCCCGGGCGGGGCCCCTTGCTGGGAGCTGGGGTGGACCAGGGCGCATCTCTGATTTCCGAGATCACAACCTCTTGTGTGAAACAGGAGGAAGCAATCAAGACCAAGGCGGAAGTTAAAAAACAAAGATCCCTTAGTCCCGTCCAGGTCAGTTGGGAAAAATCCACGTACTTAAGTGTTGAGATTGCTCAAGGCCTTTCCTCATGGATCCCAACACCACGTTTAGAAGGACCATCTGCCTGCTGGGGGAGCGCTCTCAGAGGCCAAGGGGCTGAGCCACAGAGGGTGGGCACAGACACCCACCTCCTCTCACCACCCGCTTCTTCCTGGGCCACCGGGGCTCCCCAACATGTCCCTGGAGGCCCGGAAGGGCTCCCTGAAAGCCTCTGGAGCCCTGGAGGGTGCCTGATCCGCACTGAAGCATTTTGGGGGCCTCTGGCGAGCTGGAGGGCCAGGAGGGAAGGAGGCAAGTAAGAGCAGGTGCACAGCTGTCAAACCTGCAGGGGACCCGCCTATGTCTCTGGCTCCTCCTCTGTGCCTGACGGTTGACCAGGCTCTGAGCTGCGGGGAAGGATGGAGACGAAGGGAAACCACAGGGACCCAGAACCTGCGGAAATCTGCAGGTCCTGGCTCATTACCTTTGTAGTTAAAAACTAAACATAACTTTGTTATAGAAAAGTCACAAGACCGATCCAGGAAACCGCTGTACTCCCTTCGCCCAGACCCACCAAACGGGGTCAATATCTTGCCACACTTGCTTCTCGATGATCTCTTCAAATGTAGACTTATCCCTTATTATTGTCATGACATGAGGATGAATGTGGGTGGGTCTGCTTGGTAGGGTGTCCGAGGGAATGAAGGGGTGCCCAGGGAATTTGGCACGAGAGGTCGCTTCTGGGCATGTGACATCTGGTGTATAGGGCCTGTGAGCAGAGAGTGAATAGCAGAGAGGAGCCCGCCTGTGGACGGAGCTCAGGAATCGCAGGTGCAGGGTGGAAGCCCAGAGAAAAATACAGACGCTTTGGGCGTCTCCTGCTGCAACTTTGCCATTGTCCCAGCCAAGCCAGACCTGCCCCCTGTACCCACAGGGCCGCGGGACTCCAGGGAGCCTGGAGGACATCTGATCTTTCTCCTGCCTCTAGCCCGGTGAATGGTTAAACCCAGAGGACACATGGTTTTCATCCTATTTAAAAACATCCTCAAGGATAAAGACCCTGTGCTTTCCCTGGGCTTCTGGTTCCAGCATTAATTATCTGCACTACAGGGAGCATCGCCTGTGTCTAGCCTGAACCTAGCCTGAACCTCTGGCTGTTTCTTTGACCTGTTTCCTGAGGTTCTGCCTTCTGGGGCCACGCTGCCTCTTTTTGGCTCTGTCCTCCACTCCCACCAGAGGGCTTATTTCCTAGTCTGGGACCATCAGCATCCCTGGCACTGGGCGATGCTGGGGCTTTATAACCATCTCAGTGGTGGGGGGAACACCATCAGGTCTGGGCTGGGGGAAGGAGCGGGACAGAGGTGAGGGCCGTGGCGGGGAGGGTCTGAGCGTGCCCTGGAGCGCCGCTGAGGCCACTGGCGTCTGGAAGTCTCGGGCAGTGGTGGTGCCCAGGCAGGAGGGTGCCCAGAGGGGCCGCTCTGTGCGTTCACAGAGTCGGCGAGTCCACATTCTGGAGCGCTGAGTGCCTGCCACACGAGCTCCACGCTGAGAGCGGTAAGTGACTAAACGGCAGTTCCCGCCTTCGAGAAGCTCGGTCAGCAGTGAGGCGTTCATCAGTGCGGCGAGCAAACAGCTGCGGGGGGCCGTGGGCATGATGGATCTGGGTGCCCGATGGTCGGGGCCGGCGGTCCCAGAAACCCCACCCTGCCAGGGGACTGCTTTGGTGAGCACAGGACTAGAATCTGGGTCTGACTGACAGTGCTGGCTTGTTTTAGCTTTTTCTCCTGAGTCTCTCTGCTTCCTTTCAGAAACAAGGGGTAAAGAAGCCGTGCAAACAGAAGGAGTGACACCTTCTGTCTCAGAGGAAGGGAGTGTGTGCTCATGAGGAAAGGGCGAAGTCCACCTGGCCAGGGTGAACGGGTGTGCTGGGGAAGGGTCCCGGACACCCGCAGCAGACCAAGCACCATGCTGGATGCCTGGACCACAGGTCACAGCCCTGCGACAGGCGGGGGTGTCGAGGGGGCCTCCTCGCAGGGTCTCTCACCTGTACTGGGTGACCGCGGGGTTTGCCTTGGCAGAGCAGTGGAACGTGACCACGTTGTCCTCCAACACTGGCTGCGGCTCCACCGACAGGTTGACAAGCGGGGGGTCTGCGGAGAGAAGAGGTGCCCTTGCAGACTGCGGTGCTGTGTGCACCACGGTTTGGGGGAACATGAGGGTAAAGGCCAGCAATTCCACCACCAGCAGCCACTCCCCCGGTGGTCTTCAGAAAACTGGGGGCCTTGGCAGGGGGCTCCCTCCGTCCCTGGAAGTGCCCGATTCAGGCCGTCCTGGCAGTGGGGTCAGGACTCCTGCTATGGATTCAAGTTATTGTTCAGTCCCTAAGTCATGTTTGACTCTGTGTGACCCCATGGACTTCAGCGCGCCAGGCTTTCCTATCCTCCACTATCTCCCAGAGTTTGCTCAAACACATGTCCATTGAGTCGGTGACGCCATCCAACCATCTTGTACTCTGTCGTCCCCTTCTCCTCCTGCTCTCAATCTTTCCCAGCATCAGGGATGGATTCAAGGCTGGTGCTTAAATGAACAGCCACCCCGGAAGCAGAGCTGTCTGGGCCCCAGAGGGTGCTTGCTGCCTACCTTTCAGCTTTGGGTGAACAAACCACTGCCGGAAAGAGAGGTGTGAAAGGGCATTGCGGGGGTGGGGGGGTTGAGGAGGATGTGGATACTAAGTCCCTTTAAATACGAACTTTTCTGTCTTTGAAATGTCCATCTTGCGTCTCTTTGTGTAACGGTTCTGGTGCATCTGTTACCTTGGCACTTACAGCCTTCCCCGAGCCTAACCATCTCTGCTGAGTCCTGACGGGTGTCACTCAGTCCTCAGCACCCCAGGCGGGGCTCGCCTTTGTTCCTCAATACGATGAAGCCCGGCTCTCAAGGGCAAAATGGTCAGAGGTGGAGGAAACAGGAAGTCAGAGAGGTAGAGAGAGACGGGGAGACAGAGACACACAGAGGTCATGCAGAAGGGAAGCGGGGGAGGGACGGGAGCAGAGACGCCTATGTAGGAGAGATGTGAAGATGAGGGAGGGAAGGAGAAGGAGAGAGATCGAGAGAGAGGGAGAAAGTGCAGAGGCAGAAACACAGAGAAGCAAAGAGCAGACACGGATAGGCTCAGAGAGAGACTCAGGTGTTCAGGGAGACACACAATCAGACAAAAATTTTAGACGTAAGGCCAAAAGACCAAGGGGGACTGAACAGATGGAGACAGAAGGTGATAAGGTGCTGGGGAAAAAGCCAAAGACAATAATGAGACATAGAGGAAAGAGACAGGATGATGAACAGTTGGAAACAGAGGAGGTGGTATCAGCAGAGATCAGAGGTGGGGGATCAGCCCAGAAAGAGACCTCAAGGCGGCCTGGCCCTCCTGAGCTTGGAGGAGGCCAGTTCAGGACCTGCTCTGAAAGCCGAGCATCCTTGGGCTCTGGGGTAGGCACCCAGGCCTCAGCACCCCAGGCATCCATGTTCCAGGGGAGCAGAGATGACAGGCCTGGAGGTCTGGCTGGAGCTCAGCTCTAGGCTGGGTGAAGAGGGCAGCTTGGTCCCTGTGTCCTAGTCAGGCCCTGGGGCCAAATCTTCTGCTAGACCTCATCTTTAGGCACAGCTCTGTGCTGGGAGGGCAGGAGGACTTGCCGGGGGGTTCACCCCATTTTCAGAAAGAGAAGTAAGAAAGCTGGTTTCTCAGAGACCATCTGGAAAATGCTGACCCTCTCTGGGTGCATGTGAAGGGCACCACCGGGGGGGAGCAAGACTGCAGCTGCCTGGCCCAGCTCCTGGTTGAGATGACAGAGGGATCCCTGAGCCCCTTGAGAGTCAACTGTGCAGCCGCCCAGCTACAAACAGAGCCTCACCCACCCCGGAGTTGGGATTGCTTGGCAGTGTGCCCTCCCTGTCCCCTGCTGGTGTTCAAGCTGCCTGCTGGGGTGACGGGCTTGAGGGGAGATGACCCATAGGGCTGCACTGGGCTGTGCGGACAGCTTGTTAAGACGCGGGAGAGAGTGCTGATTCCTGACAGCAGCAGGTGGTCAGCCAAGCTGGAGCTGTTCTCCCCACATCCCTTCTGGACAGGACCACAATTCTGGGAACGTCTCCTATGGCTTGCTTGCCTTTTCCTGGAGAGTTAATTGTGGGGAAGTGTTGGCTACTTCAGTGACCTCAAAGTTGGTTTTTTATTCATTTATTTTTAAATAGGAATTATTTCAATAAAATTTTGTATGTATTTATTTGGCTGTGCTGGGTCTTGGTTGCTGCGTGGGCTTTTGTCTAGCTGCAGCGATCGGGAACTACTCTCCAGGTACGGCGCATAGGCTTCCCATTGTGGTGGCTCCTCTTACCGCAGAGCACGGGCTCTAGGGTGCGCGGGTTTCAGCAGTTGCGGCACGTGGGTTCGGCAGTTGTGGCTCCTGGGCTCTAGAGAGCAGGCTCGTAGTTGTGGTGCAAAGCCTCAGTTTCTCTGTAGCACATGGGATCTTCCCGGAGCAAGGACTGAACCCACATCTCCCGCCTTAGCAGGCAGATTCTTCACCACTGAGCTACCAGGGAAGCCCTCTACATTGGTTTTTAAAGCGTGATTCCAGCGGACCAAAAGATGCATGGCCAGGACTTGCTTTGAGAGCTCTGCTCCTATTTCCCAAGACAGCTACACCCCCAGAACCAAACAGCCTCCTCCTGGCTGTTCCCCATCACCTGAGTGGGCTGTCTGCTGGCCCACCCAGCTGAGAACCAGGGCTAGTTCCAGAGCCTCTAGAAACCAGCCACAGAACGTGCAGGGCAGCTCCAGGAGGCCGGTCCCCACCTGGCTGTCCTTTATAAAGTGATGAGACTTCCAGGGACAGAGAGACAAAACACACATCTGCTGGAGGACCTTCCGGCTGTCTGCTCCCTTCCCCTGCTCCCCTCCTCTACCACCGAGCTGCCTGTCTCAGTTATCCTGTGGACGCCTGTCTCCAGAAGCTTCCCCACCTCTTTGCAGCATCCACGGCACCCAGGAGAACAGGCTCCCCCTACACCCCGGGAACCTTCCACACTGGCTGGTCTCATCTGAGCCTCCACCCCAGGCCCAGAGGTGCCACACCCCTCTCTTCGCACTTCCCCTCTGCATGTGTAGGATATGAATTTTCAGAAGTCCACCAGGCTCTGGAGGTATAAATAGTTTATGTCATATCCGACTATTAAACATGGTTTTAATCCCATTTGTGATGTCGGTTGCATAACTTGCAGGGGGGCAGCTTTGATGTAGCTGGCGGAACTGAGATTGCACTGAACAGATGTTACAGCTGAGAGTCTGTTAGAGTTTCCATCAGCAGCCTGCCTCCGCACACGCGTGTGTGTGTGTGTGTGCGCGCGCTCGTGTGCACGCACGTTCAGGGGAAGTATTACATCCAGGAAGGGACGAGAAAGGAGAGAAACTCCATGACTCAGTGATTTTATAGCACATCCATTTGAAGCTTGGCAGCTGGATGCAGAGTCCAGATGCAGCGAGACTTTGGGGGTGTTAAGCTTTCTCTCCCATTACTCAATCTGGGGGCTTTGTCTTCCGTTGGGTAACATCTAAAGACCAAGGGAAACAAACAACAAATGTGTTTTTGCTGAGTTTGGATGCTTCTTGGTTGACTGAGAAAATGAGCAGGTTTGCAAAGGCAGCTCTGATCCAGCCTGTGGTGTCCACAGTAAACAGCTGGATGCTTACTGAATGAACAAAGGGATGCGTGGCGGGGAGGGCGGAGAGCAGGAGGGAGGGGGCAGAGAGAGCCTGCTCTTTTGCTCAGCAGGCGTGAGTAGGCACCTTGGGGAGAGGGAGACGAGTGGATGCAGACCTCTCCTCCCTGTGGGGGCTGGGTTCACCGGGGAGGGGCAGCTGCACCCCTATGACAGGTGCTGGGTGCTGCACTGGGGTCGCTGCCCAAATGATTAAACTGAATCCTTCCAGCCAGTGTATGAGCCAAGCACTGTTACCTCCATATTCAGATGAGGAAACTGAGGCACAGAGAGATTAAATAACCAGCCCAGCACCACTCAGTAAGTGGCAGAGCCAGAATTCCAAACAGGAAGGATGCTGAGGCTTTAACCATGACTCCGGACTGCCTTGGACGGGGCCCATCTAGGAAACCAGGCACCTGGATTCTCGGCTTCACCTTGACCTCATTCCTGCTGCCAGTGAGTCCCAGAGACCTGGCAAGGCTGGCATCCTCCTCCGGGGCAGACTGTCGTCTGTGTGTCCTGGTAAATCCATCATGGCATTAGTGCACGTTCAGAGGAACGTGTTTTAATAGTCGGTGGGCTGTTGTCATGATGATGGCTTTCTTGTTGACAGAGCGGTTCTGCTTTGTGACGCAGAAACATAGCTTCCCCCCAAGGCTCTCCTGCAGAGCCGACCCGCTGGGTTCTTCTGTGGGGGTTCTGTGGCTGGCACAGGCCTCCTGACCAGCTGGGTGGGGGGTGGGGGGCGACGACGGAGGGGCTGCACAGTGGCCACGACAGGCAGCCTGCTACAGGAGGCTTGGATGTCTGCGGCTCTCACGCTCATTCCTCCTGGATTTGGCTTGTGTCTGGAGAGACCTCTGATTCATGGTCAATCCCAGGGCAAGAAGAGACCTTGGACGTCACTCAGTCAAATGAGACTAGGAACCGGCGTCCCCTGGGTGACATGACCAACTCAGGCCCACACAGCTCATGGGTGGTAGAGCCTTTCTGGGCTGTAGACTACCCCATCCCCCCACATCTTGCTTTCTTTCTACAGTTGGGCCTGCGGCTTGATGCCATACCTGCGACACATAAGAAGCAGGTGGGTGTGGACAGTGGGGCCTGGACTGGGGCAGGGGAAGGAGACATTCCTCCCAGGGTGACCTTGAACTTACAAGACATTTAAAGCGAGAGCCTCCCTCCCATCACCCTGGTCCTTGGCCTGCCCAGAGCCCTGGTGCTCCTGCCTCTTATTGGATAGGGAATGGAAGAGCCTTCTTCTTGGTGTGGATGGAGGTAGAGGGGGGTTTAATAAGCTGGTGAAGATGGTGAATACAAAACCAAGGATCGAACCCATGCCTCCTGCAGTGGAAGTGGAGTCTGAACCACTGAACCGCCAGGGAATCCCTGGTGATGTTTTTAAGGGGATTGTCTCATCTGTGACAGTAAGAAGGATAAAACGGTCCTTCGGGTGCCCAGACAAACCCGCTAATTCCTAGGATTGATGGACCCAGGTCCTGCCGCCAGCTGTCCTGCAGGGGCCTGGCCCTGTCCTTCCCCCGACCTGTGCTCTGGGCAGGTGGCCCCTGCCCCCTGCCCCCGGCCAGGTCAGTACTCACGCTGGATGTCGATGGTGACCGAGGTCTCCTTCCCTCCAGGGATGGCTTTGTTGGTGGCCCGGCATACGATGCTCTGCCCGTTCTCCACATCGCCGGGGGAAATGAAGAGGGTGCTCACGATGCTCTCACGCTTGCCATCTCGGAGAAGGGTCTATGGGTCAGGGGGGCAGAAAGAAGGCCCCAGGTCACTCATCACTCATCACTGGGACAGCTGGGCAGGTGAGGCAGGACACGCGCCAGCCTCGGAGAGGAGGGAGGAGCGCTGTGGATAGAGGTAGGTCAGCTCAGGACACCCAGGGGTGCCCATCTCCATGCAGAGCCACAGGTCACGCTTGGCACCCTGGCCCGACTGAGCGCCAGGCTTCAGGAAGAAAAAGGAACTGGAAAGTGACTTGCCCACCCAGGCACAAAAGAAACCAGCTTGGGCTCAGTGGAAACCAGGCTGTCGGTGCTATGTAGGAATGAACTTGTAACTATCCTGCCTCTGGTCTGGGGGTGACTCTGGGTCTGCAGGGAGCGCTGAGACAGGGAACAGTCAGGTGCTGTGGCCCTGGGAATGATGCTGGGTGCAGAAGTGTGCACAGCTGGGGGGTGGGGGGTAAAGGCAGGGCTAGGGTGGAAATGCGTGAAGAATCAGCACACACTGACCATTTCATTACTTTACCTGTATAAACTCTCTCACCTTTTCAATCATTTCACTACCAGACCTCACTGGATCTCAGACTAAGTCACAGACACGACAGGTGCCATCGTCTTTCATTTAGCAGTGGAGAAAACAGGTGTGATCAAGAGAGGCTATGGAGCTTGATTAAACTCACTTCGAGTTGGTGGCGGCGATGTAAGCAACAGGATCCTGGAGTGTATTGAAGAGCATCCGCCCCAATTCATGACCACCCCGAACCTCAGAATGTGAAACTATTTGGAAATGGGGCCTTCACAACTTAGTTAAGTAATTAGTAATTAGGTAAGGATCTTGAGACAAGATCACCCTGGACGTAGCATGGGCCTTAAATTCAATGATGGGTGTTCTTGTAAAAAGAAGAAAAGACAGGGAGACACAGGAAGGAGGTTGTGGCAAGGAGGAGGCAGAAACAGGAATGATGCTGCCACAAGCTTAGGAAAGCCAGGAGCCCCTAGGGCCTAGAAGAGGCTAGAAGATTCTCCCTGGGGACTTTGGAAGAAGCACAACTCTGCCCAGGCTTTGACTTCAGAGTTTTCGCCTCTACAAGTGTGAGCCAATACATTTTGGTTGTCTGAAGAACCAAGTTGTGGTACTTGGTTCCAGCAGCCCTAGAAACTAACTCAGGCCTAAAGGTCCCCTGTCTTCCTCTTGACCACATGCTGATTCCTCATGGCAGCTGTTCTCCTTCATTGCTGGTACCCACTCCCCCCGTGGAGACCGCTTCCAGCTACTGCCCCATCAGTTTGGTACCCTGCACCCTTGACTCCCTGGTGGCCCACGAAGGTGGGTGCCCAACGGGGAGGTGCAGTGGGCAGCAGGGCCATTTCGGTTTGGGGTAGGGGCTGGACTTGCTCAGTACACCCCAGGAAGGAACTTGATCTTATTTTCCCAAGGTTGGAGCTGAGGAATAGATGGACAGACTCTACTTCTTCAAAACCTCCCTGAAAATAACCACAACATCGTCTCACAGGAGACAGAAGGGAGGGAAGGAAGGGAGCCTTGTCTCCCAAATAACTGGAGAGAAAACTGAGTTTAGAGTGAGCCAGGAACTCATTGGGCAGGGCAGGGATTTGCATAGGAGAATGGTGAGCCCTGAGCCTCAACTTCCCCACCGCAGCTTCCTGAGGACCTGTAAGCCAGCAGGGTGGCGTGATCCCCTCTTCCAGGAGGTAACAGTTAGCAGATTAAGTAGCCTCCCTTTATTAGTGACATGTAGGCAGCTGGGGGCTTCCCCAGTGGCTTGGCTGGTAAAGAATCCACCTGCAATGCAGGAGACCCTGGTTCGATTCCTGGGTTGGAAAGATCCCTTGGAGAAGGGAAAAGCTACCCACTCCAGTATTCTTGGGCTTTCCTGGTGGCTCAGATGGTAAAGAATCCATCTGCAATGCAGGAGACCTGATCCCTGGGTGGGGAAGATTCCCTGGTGGAGGGCACGGCAACCCACTCCAGTATTCTTGCCTGGAAAATCCCCATGGATAGAGGAGGCTGGTGGGCTACAGTCCATGGTGTCTCAAAGAGTCGGATATGACGAGCGACTAAGCACAGCATCGCGCAGGCAGCTGGATCCCGACTCTGGGTCCTCAGTTCAGTGGCCTGCACTAGGGGAAGAGGCCCGGAGCCTCCATCTAGGATAGCTCATCCCGCTGTAGACAAAGCCAGACTCAGATGTGGAGACACTCACAGCTTTTCTCCTCTGCTGGAGAAAACCGCCCAGGCCCAGGCCTGCTCTCATCCATCTTCCTTCCTGGGACGTGGGGTGGGAAGGGGGAGGGTGGTCTCAGCCCTGCGGCAGAGGGATCCGGGCGAGAGCCTGGGGGAGGGTGTCACGGTCAGTTGCGGAAGCCGGAGGGCTGAGTGTCTGGAGCTCAGCCTCAGGCCCAGGGTGCTCATCTGGAGGCTGGTCCCAGGGGTGGTGTCAGAGTGGGCGTGGTGTCAACCGGCCCAGCCGGAACCTCTCCGCTGCACCCTAGTAACCGGCGGGCTCCAGGCTTTTCAGCAGACCTCACGCGTCTATAAATAGCCAAGCGATAATAAGCACAATTTCCTGGATGAAAATAAGACCGCGGGGTTGGGGTAGGGGAGGTGGGGAGGAAGATCCTATTGTTCTTTCCCGCTTTTCTTTTCTTTACTTTTCCTTTGTGCTAACTAGGGACATTTACATAAATTTTAGTCTGCCAGGGTACCCTCGGATTGATCTGCTCGTGGGGTGCTGGGGAGCAGGGCCATCTGGGTGCCGGTAGGAGGGGAGTCAAGGGCCCGAGCTCCTAATTAGGCCCCTGACTGCTGCCCGCTCCCTGCACCCCGAGCGCTCCTCGCTCGGAAAGATGATTAATGACATATTTACTGTGTCCGGGCGTGTGCTTTTCTGGGAAATAAAAATTCTGGTTCAAGTTGTTTGTTCCACCTAATTAGAGATGGGGAGATGTGTTCATTAAACCGGGGGAGGGCACAGCGTCCGCTCCCCAGGGGAGGACCCCTCCTAGCTCCGGTGGGGGGTGGTCTGTAAAGCTTTCATGGTGTTGGGGTGGGGGAGCAGAAGTCGGGGCAAAGGAGGAGCCTGGGTCTTCTCACCTGATTTTCCTCCCTCCCTTGTTCTTTCAGCAACTCCTCGCCTCTGCTTTCTTTCTCTTGTCTTTTCCTTCACACCTGGCTTGTCAACCTCCCCCCTTCTCACATGCAGATGAAGCCCTGGGACCTCCGGGGTCCAGGCCAGGTAGACACTTTCTGATTTTGTGATTCCTGTCACAGGCCCCCTTTCCCTGTTCTCCTGCCCCTTCTCCGGCTTCCCTCTCCTGAACTTGGCTCTGGGGATACACAGGACCCCAGCACCCCCACCTCCTGGTTGAAAAACCTTCATTAGCACGCCCTCCCCCAGAGGGTAAGTGGGTTATTAGTGGTGAGTCGCTCATTTCTGGGGCCACCACCTCCAAGCCCTGGGGCAGCGCTCCCTGCAGCTTGGTGGGCACTAGTGTGACCCTTACAGCCTCTCCTGCGGGTCCCACCTGTGTCTGCAAATATGGACCAGGAGTGGGCCAGAGTATATACCTCATCTGCTCAGGGGTGAACATGCCAGGCCAGGGGTCTGCCTGGGTGTGTGTCCACTGGCCTCTGACTCACTAGCTTCCATAGAGCTTTCCCCACTGTCCCATTGGCTTAGGGCTGATCTCTAGACCCTGCCTATCCTGCTCTGCTTTCTGTTTGTGCATCCCCCCATCACCGACGGCAGGCACCTGGCACTCAATCAGCAGTGGTAGTTGGTGAGGGGGGTGCTGGGCTTTCCGGGGGGGAGGAAGACTGCACTGCGTGTAAGTTTGTCCAGTGTGGGCTGCTGCCCCCAGGGCTTCAGCTGGGCAGTCTCCAAGGCCGGAGGTGACCACTAGTGAGGGAGGAAGGAGATTTGGAGGGAGCCTAGTGGGTGGATGCCCCTGGCTTGGTGCTAAATCTGGGATGTTCATTGATATGCAAACAGCCTGGGAAGGGCTTGAGGGCCTGATTGCCTGGCAACAAGGCCCCCTCTTCTCCCTCCTCACTCACCTCGCCCACCTGCTGTGTCCCTTAATTTTTCTTTTCTTTTTTTTTTTTATCATCTCTCTTTGCTTCCCCTTTTAAGGCTGCCTGGGGAATCCACTGGGGCTTGTTATCACTAAGGGCTGTCGGAAGGTGGAGATTTGGGCGGTGCTTTCTGCCTCCAGACCCTGTGTCCTCACGGACTGACCCCTAGTTTTTTGTCCTGGGGCCAGGAGGGATGCTCTTCACAAAGAAGGCCAGGATGAGTGGCAGCTGGGTAGAGGCTCCAGGTGCCTAGGATGAACAGATGGATGCAGGGGGTGGGGGATGCTACGGGGACGGGTGGGGACAGGGTGCAGAGCTGAGCCACAGCGAGGGCCCTGAGAGGTGTGGTGCCAGAGAACTCGTACGTAGCTTGGGCTCTAAGTCTGGTGGTCCTGGTGGTGGTGGGTGGGCACTCCTGGGGCAGGCAGCAGTCTGAAGTTGGAAGAAACAGAGGTGCAGAGCTGGAAGGTCAGGGGCCTCAAGGCAGACATGTACACGTCTGTGGACATGCAAGGTCAAGCGACCCTCCCCCTGTCCACCATTTCAGGGTGAAGGCCTCCACCTTCCACCTGGCGGCGGCTGCTGGGGAGCAGCAGATGGAGCAGGAACCTGGCTGGCAGGGAAGGCTTTTCTCTGGTCTCAGCACAAACTGTCTTCCTTCCTCTTTCACAACCTGTCCTGCCTCCCCGGGTCTGCCTTCCAGATGACCGCCACGTGGCCTCCATTCTGGTGCCAGGCCCAGAGAAGACGGCCTGAGGCTGGTGTCCAGGAAGAGAGGACTTGGAGAGATGGCTTTTCATCAACTTCCATGCTTCTGCAGCCAGACACCCGCTGGGAGCCGCGAGCGCTCACCCAGGCACCTGGGCCTCGAGGGCTCTGCCTGCCCTGGGTTCAGGGAGGCGGGTGGGGGCTGGCGGAGCACCCTTCCCCTGCAGGCCACACGGTGGAGCAGCAAAAGGAAACCTGGGCTTCTGAGCGACCTCTGGGTGGGGAGAGCAGGGTGGAGGAGACAGGGCTCTGGGAGGAAGGAGCCAAGGATGCTAGCTAATGTTTACAAAGCCCTAACTCTATGCCAGGTGCTTTACAGAGTACTTTCAATGCACTATTCTTTTTTTTTTTTAATTTAGTTTTGGCTGGGCTGGGTCTTCATTGCTGTGCGTGGGGCTTTCTCTAGTTGCAGCGAGCAGAGGCTACTCTCTGCTGCGGTGCTCAAATGCATTATTCTTCTTAAGTCTCGCAGCAATTGTAACAGGTGTCCATATTACATGGACACCTGTTATGTCATAATACCTATTATCATCATCCCATTTTGCAGATGGGGAAACTGAGGCAGAGATCTGATGTTACCATGACTTGTGATGGAGCTCAGGTGTGAACCAGGTTTGTAGGACCCCCAAGGCCTGCTGTATGATGACACTAACACTCTCACACAGGAAATGCGCTGTGCAGATCCAGTGAGGGGAGGCAGTGATCCTAACAGTCATGCTTCCCTCTGCTCATTCAAGCCTCATGACCATCCTCTGAGGCAGGTGCCATTGGTCCCATTGTACAGATGGGGACCCTGAGGCACAGCAAGGTTAGCTAGCTTGCCCATAGCCACAGAGCTAGACGGTGGTGGAGCCTGGATACGGGCTTCCCAGCTGCCAGGTCCAGGGGCTTAACTACTCACCATGAAACAGACGCTGAGGCTTCAGCCCCAAGGGCTGTCAGGGTGGCCCCGTGGGATTTTTTCTGTAGACCGTGAATCCTACTTGACTGTTGCACATGTGTGTCCTCTCAGCCTCTCTCCCTGTCTCCCCGTCTCTGTCTCAGCTGCTCATGCCCCTGGCCTCTTCTCTTGCACAACCAAGAGATGTGTGTTGGGACATCACAAGTGCTGAGGTCAATGGCACCTGCACTCCTGGGGGAGAGGGAGCCGCAGAGGGCTGGGCGCTGACAGCCCCCAGGGCTGAGTCCATGGGAGCTGTGGGGTCATCCATCCTTCTCCGTAAGCCCAAGTCACAGGTCTATAGCTTCTCAGAGCTGCCAGGCCCCTGACAGAGCAATATATATATATTGCTGTGCCTCACAATCCCCATCTGTACAAGGGGATCAATGGCACCTGCCTCAGAGGATGGTCATGAGGCTTGAATGAGCAGAGGGAAGCATGGCTGTTAGGATCACTGCCTCCCCTCACTGGATCTGCACAGCACATTTCCTGGGTGAGAGTATTAGTGTCATCATAGAGCAGGCCTTGGGGTCCTACAAACCTGGTTCACACCTAAGCTCTCCCCATCTGCTATATATATATATATATGTATATATATATATATATTCCCCCTAGATTTCATAGGGTGAAGCCCTGAACCTCTCTGGAGCATATTTGGACATGGGGCCTTTATGGAGGCAGTTTAGGCTGCACGCGTGCTAAGTCACCTTAGTCGTGTCCAACTCTGTGCGATCCTATGGACTGTATCCCACCCGGGTCCTGTCTCCATGGGATTCTCCAGGCAAGAATACTAGAGTGGGTTGCTGTGCCCTCCTCCAGGAGATCTTCCTAACTCAAGGATCCAACCCGTGTCTCTTAGATCTCCTGCTTTGGCAGGCAGGTTCTTTGCCACAGCGCCACCTGGGAAGCCCTTCAGCTCACAGCACCTTGTGTGAACGAGAAAAGCACCCCAGCAGGTAGGTACAGAAGGTTCAGGGCTGGTAAGGGGTTATGGGCTGCATTCAGCCCTCCTTGACCCCTGAGCCAGGTCCCTGGGACAGGAAACACCTAAACAGCTTCAGCTGGCAGCACTGGGAAGGTGGGCAGATTGAGCAAATGAGAATACAGACATGAGTTAAACTTGAATTTTGGTTAAAAAATGAATAATCTTTAGTATAACCATGGCCCATGCAATATTTGGGACATACTTACACTCAAAAGTTATTTGTTGTTTAGAATTGATGCTTTTGAACTGTGGTGCTTGAAAAGACTCTTGAGAGTCCCTTGGACTGCAAGGAGATCAAGCCAGTCAATCCCAAAGGAAATCAACCCTGAATATTCATCGGAAGGACTGATGCTGAAGCTTCAATCCTTTGGCCACCTCATGCGAAGAAACGACTCATTGGAAAAGACCCTGAGCCTGGGAAAGATTGAGCGCAGGAGGAGAAGGAGGCGACAGGATGAGATGGTTGGGTGGCATCATCAACTTAATGGACATGAGTTTGAGCAAACTCAGGGAGACAGTGAAGGACAGGGAAGCCTGGCGTGCTGCAGTCCATGGGGTCGCAAAGACTCGGAAACGACTGAGCAACTCAACAACAAACCTGAGATTCACTTTTAACTGGATGTCCTGTATTTTATCTGGCAGCCCTCAGCTCTGGTCACCTCTGTCCCTGAGTTGCGTCCTCTGACCATACTCCATTCTTAGGGTTGTCACCACACCCAGCAATTCCCCCAGGAAAGAGAGGAAGAGGAGGAGAGACAGAAAAGGTCGCATAAGTAGAGCCAGAGCACTCGAGAGAAATAGTGACAGAGAGACAGAGAAAAAGAAAGACACAGAGAGACAAAGAGCTAGGAGCCAAAGGCGACACGAAGTCACACAGGCAGAGCAAGAGCTGCCAAGAGATGGGGAGAGCTGCCCCTGCCCCCGGCGTCCTCCTCTCCTCCGCAACGCCCCCCAACCCCGCCTCACCTTGGAGTAGGTGGCTCCGTTGATCACCTCTCCCTTCCTCAGCCAGATGATGGAGGCAGCAGGCTTGGCATTGTCTGCATGGCAGGTGAGGTTGAGGGGGTCCCCAGCCCGCAGGCTGATCACAGGCCCCCCGAGGATCACCGGGTCGTCAGGCGGCACTGCGGGGGGAGAGAGAAGGGAGAGGTCAGGCTGAGGGCACCCCTCCTCTCGGGTAAGGCTGAGTGGATTTTATGGAGCTGCTGACAAACAGTAATTATCATCCTTTAATAAAATGTATAATCCCCTTGTATTATAACAATAACAGTGATGACAGCAGTAATCCTGACACAGGCGTCGCGTGTTTATTTGCAGAGGACGCTCATGTCATCATCTCATTCCGCGCGGCAGCCTGCGAGGGGACAGGGCAGGCGTCATTAGCTGCAATTTGCAGATCGGAGAGCGTGCCACTGCTGCCTGGATCCTATCCTTCTTTCTAACTTCTCTCTTTTAAAACAAAGCCCTGTCACATCTGTCATCTGATTTAATCCTCACCGCAGCCTTGCGAGGTAAACATCATTATCCCAATTACTCAGATCCGGAAACCGAGGCTCTGCGGGATTAAGTGACTTGCTCAAGGTCACACAGCGGCTGAGTGGAGGAGGCCAGGGCTGGAAGCAGGTCCCCCGACACTTGGAGCACCAGGCTGGCCGCTTCCCTCGGAGGAGACAGGTGACAGGCAAACTTTCCGGGCTGAGACAGAGTTCCAGAGAGCTGTGCAACCCTGGGCATCTCCTTTGGACCTGATTCTCCCAGAGCAGTTCCAACTCCCTCCTCCCAGAGCCGGAATGAATCTCTCCTGCTTGGTCCTTCCTCTCTATTTCACGGCTGTGTGGTCCCCGCTGAGAGATGCGGGCTGCCAGGGGGAGAGTGACGCCTCCCACGGAGCCCAGCTCAGGGTCCGGTGCCTGGCGGAAGCTCCATAAACATTTGCTAAAATGCAATCACGTCTCTGACCCCCGTGACAACCACGGGACGCTGTGTGGTCGCTGATAGTGATGGATGACTACTGTTTGGGGAAGGGGCCCAGAGCCTCTTCTGAGGTTCATCCTTGTGGACCTCAGGGTCCACAAGGGGCTCGAGGGTCTCAGGCCCCTGCTGCGCCCTGCCTCTCCTTCCTGGACAAACCGGAAGGGGCAGGGTGCTCCCTGGAGACCGCCTGACGGGTCCCTGGTCTCCTCCCTGGGAAGGGGCTGGTCAGTCAGTTCTGCAGGCCTTAGGAGGCCTGAGCTGGGTGTTTGCTCAGTGAATGGATGATGGGGTCGTCAGGTGAGAGCTGAGGTCTTCACGCAACAGGCCTTCTTTGTCCAGTCGTGAGAGGAAGTTCATCCTGCCACTCGGGCCCTAAGCGAGCTTTTGCATCTCTGGGCTGAGGCAGCAGGCCCTGCTCGCTGCAGCGAGAGAAAGCCTGTGCTTAGCAATGAAGACCCAGCACAGCCATAAATAAACCAATCTTTAAAAAGAAAGAAAGAAACTCCTGGTGGCTCAGACGGTTAAGAATCTGCCTGCAATGCAGGAGAACTGGGTTTGATCCCTGGGTCGGGAAGGTCCCCTGGAGAAGGGGATGGCAACCCACTCCAGTATTTCTTGCCTGAGAGATCCCATGGACAGAGGAGCCTGGTGGGCTACAGTCCATGGGGTTGCAAAGGGTTGGACGTGACTGAGCGACTAACACTCTCCCCTTCTTTCCAGGAGGCTCTGGGGCAGGTAAGTATCCTAAGATGCATGCCTTGAGCCAGTGTCCCTGCCTCTCCCTTACCGGCCTCCAGGAAGCCTGGTTCAGAACGATGGCCTGGCCGATGCCAACCCTCAAGTTTCTATCGCTGAGGGGAAAAAAACCCTTCGGGCTTCCAAGTTGCTTTCATCAGCCTCAGGCCTCTACTGTGATCCTGGCCCAGGGAGGGAGATGGCCTCATTCAACCCTGCCCAGCCTCCCAGCGGGCCCTGGCTGCAAGCAGATGGTGGGTGTGGACCGGACGATGAGGCCAGCCCCCCACCCACCCTCCCCGTACCCCCTCATTAGCGCTGGAGGCCTCCGTGGTGCTCTGGGGCCAGAGAGCCACAGGGAGGCGGAGGAGGGCTTGGGTAAGTGGGGGGTGGGTGTGACAGTGTGTGTGAGGGGGTTTTTTTCTCTGTGCTTCGGGCTACCCTTCCAGGAGGGCTGGCCTCCTGCTTCCTCCCTCTGTTGCCTCCCCTCGAGCCGCCCAGGATGGAGGCACTCAGACTGAGCTCGCTGAGGGCCCGGGAAACTGGAAACGACCACCCGAAGCTTTGGTAACTGCATCAGCACCTGGCCCGTCCTGTCTCCGAGGCCTCCCCAGGGTTGAGTCAAGGGGGTGGGATTGTGGAAATTGCCCTAAATCAGAGGCTGAAGTGGCAAGGCAGCCCCCTGTCCGGTTTTGTTTCCTCAGCTGTCTAATGTGAAGGTACACCAGGGGATCGCGAACGTTCCTTAGCACTGACCGGCCTTGGGCCCGAGGCCGCGGTTCTCACTGCAGTTTATGATATTCTCAGAGAGGTTTTAAACGTCCTGTCACCAGGCTACACCCTGAGCAGCTGCAGCTCCATCTCGGGAGGTGGACCAGCGCATTGGGGCTTTTCAAAGCTCCCAGAGAAGGGACTTCCCTGGTGGTCCAGTGGTTAGGACTCCATGCTTCCACTGCAGGGGGCATTGGTTCGATCCCTGGTCAGGGAACTAAGATCCCACAAGCCACGTGGTGTGACCAAAACCAAAAATAAATGCTCCCTGTGGGTTCTGCTGTGAGAGCCGGTTTGAGAGCAGGCTGTCTCTGGGCCTTTGCTCAGTGAGCCAGCCTGTGATCAAGGCGTGGAGATCGAGGAGGCCTTTCTAAAAGCAAGCACAGGGAGGCTGGACCTTTCCTTCTTGCTTCTCTGGCTGTGTTTGTAATACCGGGTTAGAGGAGGCGAGAGGGGAGTGGGACTGTGCTGTGTGAGTGCGCAGGCATGCTTGCGCTCACATACACACACACACACACACACCCTCAGAATGGGCCCTGATTACATCTTCCCGAATAAGTGGTTATCACGCCGGTTATTCATGTAACCATGCATTATTGATCGGCCTTCGCCTCGGTGCACACCAGATGGGGTAGGAGGGGGTGCGGATGGGGCTGGGGTGGGCGAGGGTGGTGGGGGATGAGGGGGGAAGGCTTGGGGGCAGCGGACTGAATAGAAATCAACAGTCCTTCTTAGCAGCTGTGGCTCCTGATGGGAGGGGACCTCTCGTTACCTCCCCATTCAGACCCGGCCTGGAGCTGGGGGGCCAGGCGGGGAGAAAGTCTCGAGCAGCCGGAGCCTGGAGATGCATTATTCATCCACCCCCCTCCTCCCAGGATTGGTTATTATCCTGAACCACTGTAGAGCTTGGTCTCCTAATTTTTAATCACAGGGAAGGTGGAAGCTTTAGCCTTTTGTGATTAATCCAGAGATAAAAATAGTTGACTGTTGTGGTGTTGAGCTTGTTGTCAGTCAGGGAAAACTCATTAACTGTTGGGTGACTGAGGCCTGGGAGGACCTGATGGAACCCAGGCCGAGCTGGTGCCTGGAGCTGGAAGTCAGCCCCGGGGGTCACACCCTGCCTGGGACGGGGGCTGGCTCCCGGGTGCTGCTTACAGAACGGACACGTCATATGAATTCCGCAGTCCTGGGCTGGCTCTCTGCCATTTATTCACCTGCCTTCAAGGATTCTGGCAGGTGGCTGGGGGCCTTCCTCCTTCCTCTGCCCCTCTCTGGCCACCCGCCCTGTAGGTGGTACCGCTTGCATCTCCCTGTGTGGGAGGGAGTCCCTGAGGACCTTCTCCTAGCTCCGCTGCCCAGGACGAGGGGGGCTCGAGCAAAGAGGCCAGAGAGCACGCACATGGTTGGTCGCTCAGTCGTGTCCCACTCTGTGCGACCCCATGGACTGTAGCCCACCAGGCTCCTCTGTCCATGGGATTCTCCAGGCAAGAATACTGGAATGGGTTTTCATGTCCTCCTCCAGGGGATCTTCCTGACCCAGGGATCGAACCCACGTCTCTTGCATCTCCTGCATTGGCAGGTTGGTTCTTCACCACTAGCGACACCTGTCCTGCTCACTAGACACTGGATTTAAAGATATTGTGTTGATTTAGGTTTTTCTATAGGATCATATGAGAAACTCAAACACACTTTTTGACCAACGCGTAGACCCCAGCATGAATGTGTTTCATAGCAGGTTCCTTTGCACGGGCAGTTCTTTAACTTGAGATGCTGGAGTTGCTTCTCCTGGATCAGTCTTACTCAGTCTTGCAGATTTAGCTAAGGGGTTACTGAGTCCATAGAGAAGATCCCTTGGAGGAGGGCATGGCAAACCCATCCCAGAATTCTTGCCTGGAGAATCCCATGGACAGAGGAGCCTGGTGGGCTACAGTCCATGGGGTCGCAGAGTCAGACACGAATGAGTACAATGCATGGAGGGCCCAGTCCATGAGCTCTTTCTGCATTTCCTGGTTGGACCAAGTGACTGTTGTCTATGATCCCATAGCATCCTAGATATCATTCTCTCTCAGTATCCCACCTCTTCTATGGAAACGGTCCGGATGTGTTTGTCTCTCCCTAGACGGCAGCCTCCTTCATCCTGGTCCTCATCACCTGGGAGAGCACCTGCTGATCCAGGGTGGTTTCACACATGTTTGCTGAGCAGAACCTCGCTCGAGTCCACCCCTTTAAAGCGGTGCGATGTGTGCACAGAGTTATATAATTTGACAACCTTCACCTTCTTATCTGGAAAGTGAGGCAATAAAGATACCTGTGGGTTGTTGTTGGATTACTTTTATGATATGAAGAATGAAGGGGGAACTTGATAAGGGCTAGATAAATATTGAGGATCAGGTCCAGTTTTTGAGAACAATATTTTGTTTCTGCAAATGACCCCGGGCCAAGGGCCCTCTTGTTTTATTCTCAAAATAAAACCAAGTATCCTTCGAAACTGGAGAAGGAAATGGCAACCCAGTTCCAGTATTCTTGCCTGGGAAATCCCACGGACAAAGGAGCCTGGCGGGCTACAGTTCATGAGGTCACAAAGAGTCGGACATGAGTGAACACATACACACACATCCTTCTAAACAGCTGCTATTAGGACTTC